AGCTGTCTAAGACAGCTCAAGTTTAATTTTCTCTCCATTGCTTCACCCTAAGACTTAATAATGTGGAGAAAAGAGAAGACCACATTGGGGATGACCAGAACCTATTGGTACTTTACAGGACTTGCCTTTCCCCACAGCTTGGGTTTTTCTGGGTCATCCTCTGATCCCACAGGCACTGCTAAGATGCTGCTTCCTATACCCAGGTATAACTCAGAATCCAAAGGGAAAGGGCCAGGGTCCCCAGCCCTACCCTATCTGTTCTCTGTTGGCTCTACGAGCTACCCCAGAGACCTAAAACGGAGGTAACAGCTAAGGCCTCTTCCCAGTTCCTTGACCAGGAAAGTTTCTCTCTCCTTTCTTGCCCAACCGGGTCAAAGTAAAATGTAAGTTGTCAGCTCAAAGCACTTGTATCTGCTGCCCCTTCACTACCTCTACTCCCCAGAATAGAATCATGGGATAGGGAAAAGCCCCCATGGGGTCAGAAGGGGCAGCACTTTTAATTATTTCTGTTGGACTTTTCATAACCTGCAGAACATGTTTTTTCTGAGAAAGCCAGGTCCCCGCCAGCACATGCTGTTTTTGATGCACTATGGTTCTTGTGTATCTGCTGTGCTGTGAAAATAGATTCATTTCAAAATAAAACCATTTTGAAAACTACATTTAAAAACTCTAATCCACTCCCCCAATAAAAGTCACTACATAAACTGTTAAGCAGTATTCACCTATTTGTTGTAAGTGTAGATTATTAATTGAAAACACTACACTGTTTTCTTAATCGCATAGTTTTTTATGTACATCTCTTCAAGAGACAATGTGTTCTCTTTCATCCTAGTCCCATCTTCCCTCCATCCTCCTGAATGGCTTCATCATCAGGAGTTGTATCCAGGGTGTCTCCTTCCTACCCATTCTCTTGACTAGAAGTTACCAGGCTATATTGTCTCTTTAAAAATAAAATTTAAAAGTCTTTGCTTTGTTGTCTTCTCAGACATACATATGCATATATGTTTAAATGTTCTTGTAAGAGAGAAGATCGTTTTTAAATGTGCCAAGTTGAGTGTGTATATGTGTGTGTGTATGATATACATGTATCTTTAGATACATAGATACGTGGGTATATACACATACATGCTGTGTGATTGGTAAGCAATACAGTAGTAAACATGTCCCCATTACTTTTTTCTAATACTGGACCAATGCTGTCCTAATTGTACATTTTCCCTTATGATGACAACGCTCTGACTCGTTTAGGTAGAAACATTGACCATCTTTCATTCCATTAACTTTTTTTTCTTTTTCTCCTTTCTGTGTCATTCTTGAGGAAAAAAACAAGAGACAGGGGATGCCATAGAGCCCCTTGAGCAGAGAAAAAGCAAAATAAATATTTTATTAAAGAAAAAAGAGAATTAAGAAAATAGTTTGGAGTATTTTCTTACTGTAGAGAAGCACTGTACATTACTAAGAGATCTGGGTATAAGATACTCACGTGTGGAGCTGGAAAAATCGCATGTCCAAGCCCGTTTGAGTGGTTTCCTTTGTTTTACATTGCAGGGAGTGGGTGGGAGGGAGGTGGGACTAGGGGCACTTTGGGGGTCTCCTTTTAGTCAAAAGCAAGAAAATGACAAGAAAGAGATTAAAACCCAATGTTTCTTTTAATAGTGTTAAACACTAAAATTTTAAAAAAAGAAAAAAAAGAAAAAAAATTTGTAAAATGGGAGAACAGAAGCAAAAGACACTACGCTCTGTCATTTTATCTTTCTTTTGTTGAAAGACTAAAAACTGAAATGTTTTTTAGACAATCAAATGTTAGGTAAGTGCAAAAACTTGTTTTTTTCTTACTGGTGTAGAAATTAATGCCTTTTTTTATTTGTCAGTTATTTTATAACAATAAAAAGAACCCCCCCATCTGCCAGGCGGGTTTTGGTGTTTGAAATGCGGGGCAAAGCACTACATCACTGCAAATAGATACAGAGTAGTCTGCATGTCTGTAGGCTGTGTGATTGCGGAAAATATAAATGCTGCTAATATATTTCCTTTTTACAAAAGCATATCTAAATAGATGATTGTTTTGATGTTAATCTTTGTAAATTATGTATTACCAATTTTAACATTGGATGTAATTGCATAAAAAGCTTGCATCTCAATCCTTGAAAGTCTAGTATTAAATGGAAAAAAACTTTGCTAACTGCGGACTGGTGAGCTTGCTATTTTTTTTCCTCTTTCTTACCTTTGATTTCTCTTCCAGCATCTTCTCCACTCTTGTTCCAAGGAGCTCTCTCTATGACCATGTCATCAGTATGCTAGGCCCTACATGAGCACCCTCACTGTTGACTGTGAAATATGACCATTTCTTCAGTTTTTTACCAGCCTAGCCAACACAGCACAGCCACCACATGCCTTGATACTCTGTACATCCATACTTTGCACAGACATACATTATCTCATTTAATGCTGACAACCATTGAAGCTGGCAATAATCTGAGGCCACATTTTTAGGCAACTATGTCTGTGTGTCAGAACATTTGTGTCAAAAGCAGTTTCCTTGTATCATTTATTAGTTATTTATTATTCATTTGTTAGACCCAGGCTTACATAGGCCCTAACAGTTTGCCACAATTTCATACTAATTTGGCTCACTACTCTGAAATCAAGCACATGGTAATATGAGCTGGAACCAAGTTGCATTATGAGAATGCAAGTTATTATCACTGTTTCCAGAACATAAGTCCTAGGCCTCAGACTATGCTACAGATCTTTTGAGAAATACTGGTTCTGGTATCCAAGTAATAGCAGTCTGCAGTCTTCCATATGCACAGATAACTACTTTTTAGGGGCCATCCTACCCTAGCCTACTCTGAGTTATAGTTCCAGTCTTTCCACTGAGCTAAGTGCCCATTTTTTTTTTTTTTTTTTTTTTGACAGGGTCTCACCTTGTAAATTCCAGCTGTCCTTGAACTTACTGTGTAGCCCTCACTGGCCTAGATCTCATAGCAGTCCTCCTGACTCAGCCTCCTGAATGTTTGTTTTGTTTTGTTTCTTGAGATGGTTTTACTATGTAGTTCATACTGACCTTGAACTCACTTTGTAGCTCAGGCTGGCCTCAGACTCACAGTGATCTTCCTGCCTCTGCCTCCTGAGTGCTGGGGTTACAGGCACGCACCACCGTGCCCAGCTGTGTCATCTAACTAAATATGAAGATACAACTTTATTTGTTGGTGGCAAGAAGATTACTAAATGTTCAAGGTTATTCTAAAACACAACAGCAAGGGGTTAGGGGTTTAGCTCAGTGGCACAAGCACCTGCCTGGCAAGCATGAGGTCATGAGTTTGATCCCCAATATCAAAATAATTATTTAAATACATAGGCCCTACCTCAAAAAAAACTAAATAGTAAACCCTAAGTTTAAAATGTAGAAATGCTAATTAAAATATATGTGTAACTTCATTTGTGGTAATAGTTTACGATTGAAGGAGCTTCATAAACTCAAAAACTCACTCCTCCATAATGGAATTGCCAGAGGCCCTCAGAATTCAATTTGAGAAATGTTAATCCAAATGCAAACAGGTCTGAAGCTGAAAGAGAATACAGAGGCAAAACTAAAGCTAAGAAAAAAGAAAAAAAAAAAAGCAAAGAGCGGATGCATAACATCAACTGGCCAAGTTTAGTGAATGACAGAAGTCTAGTCAGCCCTGCTCCAACTTGCAGAGCTTTGACTCTTAAGAGTGTCATCTCCCCAAGATCTCTCTCCTATTACTACCCATTGTCTTCAACCTGGTTCCCAAAGTTTAAGAAAACTTCAGTTTTCTTTGCCCTATTTCATCTCATAGATCTTTATTCACTAACTTTCCAACTGCCTAGTTATAATTAGGGCTGTTTTTTAGCTCTATCTAAATCCATTATTGGATTCCCAGCCCCATTGTTGGGCAGCCTCTAAAATGTCATTAGCTCTTACTATTATTTCCAAAGGTCAAAAGGAACCTCTTCAACTCCTGAAAAAGTAATAAATACCAAGTCATTCTGTTTTTACTTAATGTGCATCACCAGAATAGTAATACTTTTTTTTTTCCTTCAGCATAGCAATAGTCAATAAAGAAAAATGGTGTCCAGGTGGAGATGTGGCCATGCAGAATGCTAGGCCAAAAAAACAATTAGCAACTTTTTGCAATAGTATTCCTTTTCTCTACCTAAAAAGCATAATTTTAAGGGCTAAGTCTTCCCTCCTCTTTTTTTTTTTTTTTTTTTTTGGTTTGAGAGTCAAACTCAGGACTTTGTGCTTGCCAGCCAGCTGCTTGTGCCACTGAGCTATAACCCTGGTCTTCTTCCCTCATTTTTTGAAGCTTCTGTCATAGCAGTCTAGCAAAAATCTCAGAATAGACAAGCACTTAGCTGGGCATGGTAGCACACACTTGAGCCAGAAGGAATAACATGAGGTCAAGGCCAGCTTGGACTACATAGTGAGATCCTGTTTCAAAAAACAAAAAAGACAAGCACTTGTGAGAGTTCAGGTACAAAGCAAAAGCCAGTCACCCATTCTTCAGGGAACATCAAGAACTGCACCTAATGGTGCACACCTGTAATCCCAGTACAGGAGGCTGAGGCAGGAAGATCACAGAGTTTGAGGCCAGCCTGGGCTACAAAGTGAGTCTGAGCCAGCCTAAACTGTATAGTAAAACCCTGTCTCAGACCAAAAAAAAAAAAAAAAAACTCCCGCACCTAAGTTTGACTGGTGCTGCACTGCACAGTGGTAATCCTAGCACTCTAGGAGGCTTAAGCAGGAAGGTTGCAAGTTTCGGCCCAGCCTGGGCAACTTAATGATCTAGCAAGACTCAAAATTTTTAAAAGAAGGAGGGAGGCAGAGATGTAACTCAATGTGAAGACCTTGGATTTAATCACTAGTACGGAAAAAAAGACTGCCCTTGCATTAAGAAAGCCTCTGCCTTAGGCCTCTGTTAACAGGACTTAACCCAATAACCTGTGTCCTAAAAGCCACAGTGACACACACATTCAGCTCCCATACTTTATTGGGACAAAAGAGGAAATAGACCAATACCATAGGCTCACCCACCAGGGGTGTCCAAGCTTCAGCAGCTAGCATAGCATGAATACATCATAAATACAGGCAAGGTAAGTAATGGGGGAGTCATACTGAGGAAGGAGGTCTGGCACGTGTCAGCTTGCAGGCTGAGGATTGCTGAGCTGGCACAGTCCAATTAGGGATGAAAAGAGGAAGAGGGTACCAGATTCCACTCTGCAGATAGGGAAATGATCCCTTACACACATGGGAAGGGGAAAGAAGTTGCACAGAGAATTCCTTCTTACATATTTGAAAGAGCAGAGTTCACCTTACAGATGGGCATGGAGGAAAGAAGAAACTTTTTTTTTTTTTTAATCGGTACCAGGGATCGAACTCATGATCGCCTGCTTGCAAGGCAGGTGCTTATGCTTATGTGCTTGAGCTAAATCCCCAGCCCCTGGGAAGAAGAAACATTTAAACATCAGTAATGTATGTGGAAGGGGATATTTTGCAAGCAGCAAAAAAACGCTTCTGGGATGGTTATAGTTTACATGGAGTAGTATTTATGGGCCATGCCTTTCCCAGCTGACAGAAGAGACACATGTAGGAAGAATCCAAGGCTAGAGAACAAGGGAGGTGTACCCCACAGGCACCAGCCCTTCCATGCCATCGCGCCCGCAGCGGAGCCAGTCTTCATCCACTGTGGTGATGACACGCAACACTTCACCTCGCCGGAAGCTCAACTGGTCAGGTCTGGTAGCAGTGTGGTCACAGAGGGCCCGAACCACCCTGCATGGGTCAAAGGAAGATTGCAGGGATGAAAAAGGTGGCAGTCCTTAGATGTCCTAGCCTCCTATTGTTGGTTCAGCTCAGTTAGCTCTGGACTCCAGAGGGACTTGAAGACTTCCATCAACATATTGATTCCTTCCGAAGCCAGCCTTCTCCTGAACACCAAACCCAATCTCCTTGACACTATTTACACTTCTGTCTGATGCTTCATGTTTAACGTACCAAATGATTCCTCTTAATATTCCCAACCGGATCCTGTTCATGTCCCTGAGGATGATAAACAGCTCCACTTTCAACTCAATTGTTCCTGGCAAAAATGTGGACATCTTAGTCCTTGGATCTGATCTATCATCAAAACTAGTTTGATGTCCATATAGCCTACTACTACACTACTGTCTTCAATACCCTAGTTTTGGCCTTTATCCTCTCCCTCTAGACCACGGTCCATATTAAGCAAGTCACCATGCATCTTTGGAGGTCTCTATTTCCAGTACCCTTCTCCACATAGCTGTCAGAGATCTCTGCAAAATACAAGCCAACAAGCACATCACTGCCAGTCTTGAGGGCCTTCAAGGGCTCCCACTGACTCTGGATAAAGTCCAGGATCCTTAGCTGGCCCAAGGACCACTCCCTTCCCCAAGTATCCACAGTTCCTCACCACGCTTGGACCTCCTCGCCTTCACCTCCTGTTCCTCCTGCCAGATGCACATTTTCATGCCATCAGTGAGCCTCCCTTGAAAGCCTGGGACATGACCTTTCCTCATCTATTAATTTGTATCTGCACCACACCACAAGCTCCTTGAGAGCACAGACTCCAATATGCTGACCCGAAGTCCCCTCTGGCATAATGTGTGGCACACAGAAGGCACCTAAAAAACATTACTGGACAAATGAAAAATCAAGAACTCAGTTCAGTGAACTTGAAGAACCCACAGAAAACCTCACGGCACAAATTTGAAAATTCCACTAAAGAAACAATTCCTCAGTGTATACACATCTACTTTGGGCCAAATGCTTTTCTAAAATTATGTTTTATCTTCAGAGCAACCGTAACAAAAATCTGATAAATTACTTTCTTTTTATAGAAAAAGAAAGAAACAAGGCTCAATGAGTGCCACACCAGTAGTAAACAGAAAACGCAATACTCTGATTTTAAAACCTAATACACTCCCTCCTGCCCACTCTGACAACAGAAACAGAACTACACACAGGCAGCTTTCCAATGTAGGGCCATACCACACTGAGTGCGCCCAATCTCATCTGATCTCAGAAGCTAAGCAGAGTTGGGCCTGGTTAGTACTTGGACAGAAGACACCTTCTTGGTCCTCACCTGTGGGCTTGCACTGTGCAGGGTGCCGAAGGCACAAGCTCTTTGGGAGGTGTTTCAGGAGGTGGCCCTCGCTTCACCAGAGCCAATACACTCACTGTTGCGGGGAGCCAGCTGGATGGTCTCCTGGGGGGAAGAACACAGGATCACAGAGGTCACCCAGGAACCTAGGCTTTGAAGGGAAAGAGGATGAGTGCCCTAACTAGTTCTAACAACTTAGGAACTGGCACTGCTGAGGGCAAAGTGGCAGCTGTGGGCTATAAGTATCTTTACTGTGATTAGGGACATAATGACAAATGTCTTAAAATATGGAAAGTCACAAGGGACCTACAGGACCAACAAGATCAGAAAGATCCAGAAGGTCCTAGGAGAATACCTGAAAGCTATTCAAGGCCCTGCAGTGATCAAGCCCTAGAGATGGCATTAGAAAACATTTTTATTTTCTTTTGTTCATGGCTGTTAAAAATTACCACTGACTAGCCAGGCACGGTGGCAGCACTCCTAGTCCCAGCACTCGGGAGTCTGAGACAGGAGGATCCTTGCGAGTTCAAGACCAGCCTGGGCTGCAAAGTGAGCCCAAGGCCAGCCTGAACTACATTGTGAGACCCTGTCTCATGACACATACACACAAAACATCATCACTGACTGACTGCTCACCTAAAAGATCATGCATGAGTCACTAGAGTTTCAAATGAGGCCATTGGGGATTCTGAGATGGGGTCAGAGGGTCATGGAGCAGACATGGTCTCCAATACCTGGACTTCTGGGCTCCACTCTCATTTTCTGTGGGGACCCCAGACACACCAAACAGTCTCCCAAACCACACGCCTCTGCCTGGTGCAACTTCCTCTGTGGGCAGGGGTCTCTCCTGTGCACTCTCAGCTGCAGTTCCATGATGCCTTGGTCCCCATCGGGGAAGAGGGAAGCCCTCGGTGCCCCTAGAAGTATAGACCCGGGAGGCCTGGGTCAGCTGCTCCCACCAGCTGCCTGGTGTAGGAGGACTGGAAGGCGCAGAAGGATTAGGAATGGCCTCCTCAGAGGGCCCCCGGAGACTCTGGGCCAGCCGACCCCCCCAGTGCAGCACAGCCTGCATGGTCTGCTGCAGTGTCGGAGGTGGGACTGGAGGAACAGGAGCCTGCAGTGGGCCCAGGGGCAGGTGATGATGGTGCTCAAAGAGCAGGTCCAGGTGGAAGGTGAGCACCGACAATGGCTGCAGCAGGAGCAGCAGCTCTGTGGACAGGGACGGGCAGCCTCCTCGAGCCAGGGAGAAGAATCCAGTGGGAAGATACAGGAGGGACAGCAGGCCTGAGAAAGAAAGGTTCACATCACCTCCCACCCTGAGCCCAGGCCCACGAAACCCCTACTTCAGTCCCACAGTCAACAAACAATTCCCTAGGCTTTACTCTGAGCTGGGTACAGGAAGGCCACATGTCTAACACACTCCTGCCTATGTGGTCCATGGCGTCCAGAGTGAGACGCTTAAAGAGCAAGTGGAGGTAAAAGAAATAATAGGAAAGAAAGAAAAAGCGCAGAGGCCCTCAGGAGCCTTATTGAAGAAGGCCCACAGGATGAATAAAAGGTAATGAACAGGCAGGAGGGGCAGGGAGGCCTATTTGAGGTAAAGGGCCAGCATCCATACAGCCTTGGGCCACAGAGGACCAGACAGGAAAACTGCCGACAAGAAAACCCTGCATCTCAGGCAGGAAAAGAAGGCAGGGGCGAGACAACAAGGCTTTGTTCTTTCTTCTCCTAGAAGTTCCAAGAAGAAAGCATAATAAAATCAGAAATCTGGACTCATTCTGGGATCAGTGGGAGCCAGCAGGAACCACTCTCCCTCTCCCTCCCTCCCTCCCTCCGGGCTTTGCCTCTCCCATCTGAGCTTCTGACCTGCATCTTCCTGGAGACTGGAGAACCACAGCTCCAACTGCTTGGTGCTGACAGAGAAAGGAGAGAAGGCAAGTTCAAAGAAGTGGAGGACTGCAGCCCTCTAAGGGTAGGGAATGGAGGGTGAACAGCAAGGATGGAGGTGCCTTCTCTGGGTACACAAAACACCACTACTGTGTCCCCCACGGTGCAGTGTGGGCCACTCACTTGAGGAGGCCCAGGATAAAAGCATGGAAGCGGCTGCGGCTGCTACTCAACGGGGCTAGTTGGCTGACCTGGTTGTACAGAGATCCCAAGGACCGGATGCAGGACCCTGCAGACAGGAGGCATGGTCAGTAAGGCCTCAACTCTGCTCACACCCGGTGCAGGCCCTCTCCGCTCACCTGGCTTCACGGATGCCTCTACCACACTCCAAGGGCTGCTTCTTCGCTGCCCGGTGATGAGGTCCTTCCGGAAAGGCTTCAGCCCGTCAGCCACCAGGGCGTGGAGGGCCGGGCAAAGAGTAGTCAGCACCAGGTGCCCCACATCCGGGCTCAGCCGGCTATCTCCCAACTGGGCCTGGAGGCGGCGCGATGCTATTGAGTGGGTCCCGAGACCCATCTAGCCAGCATCCACTAATGCTCCTGCCCCCACCAACTACATGAATCTGCAAATCCCCAGCACCCTCCCTCCAACCATGTTTACCTTCTGAACCAAGTTCCGGGCAGTGCCGAAATGTGAGATGATTTTATCCACTGAGGCGCTAACAGCTATCAGGAGACCTGGGGAAGGACCCGGAAGGTAAGACCTCAAAACCACCAGTCTCCAGGTGGATGCAACCAAGGGGCTCCGAGTGGCTGGTTTGTGCCATTAGACCCTAAAAGCCCAAGGGACGCCTGCCTGAGAAGCAGATCACCGTAACCCAGAGGCCAGGTGTCAGCTCAACCGACCTTTTTTCTGCTCCTGCAGTTGCCCAGTTCCACTCTGGGCTTCTGCCATCCACAGGCGCTGGGCCCCGGGGACACCGGCGAATGACCAGGAACTACGCACTAGGTGAGGAAAGAAGGACTCAGCGACCTTACCAAAGGTGACCGAGGACGCTGGCACCCACACAGGGACCTGCCATAGAGTCCTGAGAAGGGGGGACTGGACCTCGAGGAACGCTGAGATCTTGGTCCCGGCGGCCGGAAACCCTGCACGGTCTCAGCACGCGCCGCCCCCAGGTCGGCTCCCAGGCCCCTCCCTCAGGGCACAGGCCCCACCTCCCCAAAAGAGCCTCGCGGAAGCCCCGGGAATCTCCGCCCGGCCCGCTGCGGCTCGGAAGCGGGAGGAAACTGAGCTGTGGACCGAGGGAAGCACGTGGGGAGCCAGGGCCAATGGACAGACAGACGGGCCAGTGGAAAGAAAGGGGGCGCTGAACCCAGGTCTGACGACTGCAAGGAGCCGGAAAGAGGAAACCTGGTCCCGCGCCTACCCAAACCCTGTGGGGCGGGATCGAAACGTCAGGGACCCAAAGGTTCCTGGGCTGCACCCTTCACACTCCTGGGGCAAGGCGGGTCCAGCCCGAACCGCGTTAACCAGGGGTTCCGCCGCGGTTGTGACCCAGGGTCCCTAACCATAGCTTTGCCGAGGCAAGCCGGAGACCCGGTGTCCAAAGCGGGCCCGGAGAGTGACAGGCACGCAGGGAGGAGCGCAGTAACCCCACCCAGCGCCAGCATGAGAGGAAGCCACACTCCTCGGTGCTTTAGAGTTTGGTATTTGCCAGAGTTGAAAGGTGGGACCCAGCAGTGCACCCTGGAAAAAGCTACCAAGGAAAGCTGAGCGAGGGTGGGCGGGGCCTCAACGTAGGCGGGACGAGCGCCCTGCGAGGCCGGGTCCGTCTTACGTAGCCTGGGTGCAGGCGGCGGGCTCCGGGTCCAGCGCGTGGCCTTCTGAGGACGCGGTGGCCGAGGTGGTGGGGGGGCGGGCACCTGGCGGGGTGGGGAGGCCACGGCGGGGAAGGTGCTACTTCTGGGGAAGAGCGGGGAGAGCAGCAGCGCCAGCTCGGGGCTGGCCAGGCAGGGCAGGGCGCCCCGAGTGGGGGGTGAATACGCTCCCACTGGGGATAGGCGGACCGGAAGCAGCTGTTCCTCGGGGGGGCTCGGTCCCCTCAGCAGCCGCAGCCGGGCGCCGGGCCACCCGGCCAAAGGCGCCAGGAGCAGAGACCCAGGGGCGCCTGCGCCCCCACCCTCCAAAAGGGGGCGCCTGTCGGCCGAAAACCGAAAAACTTGGGGCCCCGAGAGCAGGAGGGGACCGGCTGCAGGCGGGATTGGCAGGGCCAGGCACAGAGGGGAAGGAGAACAGCGGAACGCGCAGCCAGGCAAGGAGGAGCAGGAGAAAGAGGGAGCAGAAAGTTAGTCCCCAGCCAGAGGCTCCATCGGTTCCCTTCCCCGAGCCTCCCAGACAGAAGGGGTGGGAGGGGAGGTGTCGCGGAGTGACAGGGAGACTGGGCGGGGTGGGAAGCTTGGAACGTGGGCGAGGCCGAGGTAGGCCCGCCCTTCTTTACCTCCTCAGACTCCCCCTTACCTTCCGAGTCCGCTCGCGTGCCGGGCTGCTCTGCCTCGTGCGCAGCAGGGACCTCCTCGCCCACCACGGGGCTCGCTGTCTTTCGCTCCTCGGGCTGCCCCTCTGCGATGGGCTGCAGCCCTGGCCGATTCTTCTTCCTCCTGGGAGGGACAGGTGGGGGCGGAGGACGGGGCGGGACCAGGGCCCAGCCAGCTGGAGGATCCCGGGGCGGGACCGGCGGGGGCGGGGCGCGGCTGCGGGACCTGAGTTCCTTGAAGGTGGTGATCTCGCGGGGGGTTGCAGAGGAGCAGTTCTGCGACCCGCTGGGGGGCAGCTCGGAGTCGGGTGAGAAAAGGATGAGCCAGTCGCTGCGGTCTTTCTTGGCCTGCGGCAAGAGGGGCAGCCCCGGCCCCCGCTTGCGCTTCTGGGCCAGCTCGTGAAAGGACGTGATGGTCCGGTGGGGCGCCGGCTCCTCGCTGACGTCACTCGTCCATCCAGCGTCTGTTTTCGAGCCAGAATCGGTTATTCCTGTGTTGCTGCTCCAACCATCGGATTTTCCACTTTCTGTTTTCCAACCAGAGTTAGTATTTCCGTTGATTTTCCAACCAGAATTATTGTGCTCCGTGACTTTCCATGCAGCTTCAGTTTTATCTGTATCAATTTTCCAAATGGGATTAATTTTCCAACTGGGCTCTGTTTTCCCGGCATCGATTTTCCCATCCTCCACCTCGAAGAGCTCGGAGGTGGGGAGGTCTTGATCCCCGCTCTCGTCCTCTTCCTCCAACCTTGGGGAAGGAAAGTCCTGACCGATCGTTAGGGCGTTGCAGTTCGAGTCGAGGCCAGACCTGGGCGGGGAGGAGGCTCCGGAGCAGGAATCGGGAGAGCAGCAGAAGCTGTCTGGGGAGCAGTTGCCCAGGCCCACCAAAGCCAGTGGGGAGCCCTGATCCAAGGCGATGATGCTGGGCTGGGGCTGAGCATCCTCCTTGTTAGGCAGGTGCCGAGAGTAGACGGAAACGGGGGACTCATCGGGGCTGAGGTCAGAGCAGGAGCTAAGCGAAGATGAGCAGCCAGGGTCAGAGGGAGAGGCAGCACCCTCCTCCTCCTCCTCCTCCTCCTGGGTCGGGTCCGGCCGATTCTCTAGGCTCGGTCCGTGCTCCTGGCAGCATCGGCAGGGCACCGCTGGGCTGTTGGAGTTGGCATCTACCAGGGTCCCTCTGTAGGGGCCGCTGCTCTCCTTGCCTCCAGTATCGCCTGGGGGAGGGGACGTGCTTGAAGGCCCCTCCTGTAACTCAGGACGGCGGGACAAGTGCAGGCCCAGAGAGATGTGCTGGAGGTGGATGTGGTTGAGGTTGCAGAGTAAAGCCCTCTGAGGAGACAGCATGGTGCCTGCAACCGACAGAGTGGCCTCCGGAGAACCAGCAGGACCGGGCCTCTCGCATCCACCTACCTGGAAACGCAGGTGCAGTCCTGGAAGACAGAAATGATGAAGCCAGCCAGGGAGGGCATGGGCTGCAAGAAGGACACCGGGGTGACCGACAGCAACAGCGGGTATTGGCCTGGAAAGGCGCTGGCTGTTTTGGAATATTTTAAATGAGATGCAAATCGCCCTCGACTGGCCATTAGTTTTCACTGCAGTGTTTGCAGGTGGAGTTGAATATAAACCCCCGGGAATAGAGAAGGGCGGGTCAGAGAATGAGGCTGCGCTCTGGCTCTGCTCCGGCTCTCCGTGTCATTTCGGAGCTTCGTACAGAAAGGAACCCCAACCTTTCGGCAGCCATCTACCCCCGCCCTCTAACCTACCCCGAGAGGAACCCCAGGGAGACCCCACCCCAGTGAACTGAAATGAAATGGGCAAGGTATAAATGCAGAAAAGGGGCGGGAGTGAAGAGGCCTCCGAATCTGCACAGTTCCTTTGTGGTCTGCAACCCGCAGCCTTGGTCGCCTTCACCTCTCAACACAAAATCTGGCCATTCTGTCGGGCTCCCTCAGCCAGCCACCGCCCCACCCCTTCTCTATTCATTTTAAGATTTCCTCCTCCTGCCCCACCCATCCACACTGGCAGCCAGGCCAAGCCATCCTCACCGGAGTCCTCTGGATCTGCTCCGGCCTTATGCTGGAGGCTCCCGCGGTCCCCGCCTAGCGGGGTACAGAGCGAAGGGGAGGGGTGCTAGGACAGCCCACTCCGATGCGCAGCCGCACCCCTTCACGCAAGGGCGTGGCATAACTCAGACCCGCCCCTCCACTTAACGTCATGCCTGTCACCCACTCACAGAGTGCAGTGGCTTCACCTCCCAAGGAGCTTGAGAACACCACCCCTTGGTCCTGAGCCTGGCTCCTGTACAGCCACCCTCCCCTTGCCCCCTTTACTGCCTGATGCTGGACAGAACTCGGCTCCTGCACAGGAGCAAAAACAGACAGCAGCACAACAGTGTTACATGATAATTTATTGAGCACCTCCCTCCGTCCCTCCTTCCCTGCCCTTATGGTGTCCAGGTCACTTTTTCCGCTTGTAGATCTTATTAGCCAGCGCCAGGAAGATGGCTGGGGGCAGTGGCGCAGCATACTGCTGGATGAGGTTCATGAGATGAGTATAGCTGTCTTCCTCATATCGAAGGAATGTACCCGGCAGATCCAGCTCCTTGTATAGCTCTTTCACCTTGGCCACCTTCTCAGCGTCCTTCTGCCCGTAATTCTCCTGGAAAGCATCAGAGGCGGGACAATGGATGGCCTTCACTAGGGCCCTCAAAACTTCTGCACTCCCTCATCCAGTTCCCAGAATGCCTCATTTTCAAGTGTCTCTGGAGTCTGAGACCGCCAGCTTCTACTCCCCCATCCCAAAGGTTCAGACGCAGACTCAGGCCCATCTTTCTCTAGAGTTCCTCAACCTTTACAATGTGGAAGCTTTGGGCCAGATCATGGTTTGGGTGAGCTCTTCTATGTGCTGTATATTTGGCATCCCTCACCTCTAACCACTAGACACCTTTACCACGTGTTTAAGCTGTGACAAAAATTATTTGTTGTCATTGCCACATATCTCATCTGAAAACCACCACTGCTCTACCTTTCTTTTCTGATGGAGGGGGTGGATAGTCTTGCTACGTAATCAGGCTGACCTTGAACTCTGATCCTCCTGCCTCAACCTCCCAAGTACTGGAAATACAGAAGTGCGCCGTCATGCCTGGAGTCTATCCCATCTTATCAGCCCAGAGATTCCAGGTTCACCCCCTGGGCACCTCCAAGATCTGGCGCTGTTCCAGAGTAGCCCGCTGCAAACACTGAACCACCAGCCAGCTGCATTTGTTATCCTGAATGTCGGTGCCAATCTTTCCCGTCACACTGGGGTCCCCAAAGACATCAAGGAAATCATCCTAGAGGAGGGCAGCAAAGAAAAGATGAGGGGTTCCCAGGCAGGGCAGGAGGAAAGTTAAGGCCCCACTCCCTGCCTTAGCCTCTGTTGGGTTTTCCTACCTGGATCTGGAAGAACTCGCCCATCTCCAACAGGATCCTCCTGGCATTGCTGTGCTCCTTCTCCCCATCAATGCCAGCCTGCAGGGAAGCGGGAGCAGAAGCCACACTGCCTCATCTTCCACTGCCTCCAGTGGGGTCCCACCCTACTGCAGGCCCCACAGGTCTCTCCTTCCAGACATCCTTGCCCTCCCTGATCCAGAAGTCCTGACCAGCACTCCAACCTCCCTATCACTTATTTTGGCTGGCCTTGTGGGCACCTCCTGGAACTCTTCCATCTGGAATGGGCTCCAGATGAAGCGATTCTCAAGGTCCTTGTGAGCCTCAGTCACTTTGACCCTTCTTCCTAATCTTTTTGCCACCTCCAGTGTCTTTAAGGAAGCAAACTGCAGTTAATGTTACTGACAGCCTTTGAGTCCAGTCTCCTCCCTCTCAGCCTGAGTTATCTGCTCCTCACTCCTGTCCATACTCAGATACAGGACCCGCTGCATTCCTGCTTGGAGCCAAAGGCTTTCCTGTGCCAGGTTGATGTTTATAATCCTATGGGGCAGAGGATATAGCTGAGGAGCACAGTGCAAGGTCCTGAATTTGATTCCTGGTACCAAAAAATCAAAACAAAAACCACAAATGAAAAATCAGCCTTTCATTCTTTTTATTCTTTTATTATACTAAAATATACATTTGGAGCCGGGGATGTAGCTCAGCAGAACAGCACCTGTCTGGTAAGCATAAGGCCCTGAGTTCGATTTCTAATACCAAAAATAAATAAATAAATAAAAACAACAACCCTGCGAGGAGGAGGCTGATCCAATTTTACAACTGAGGAAATAGTCAAAGCTGATCGTGGTGGTACACACCTGTAATCCCAGCACCTAGAAAGCTGAGGTAAGTGGATCACTGTACCTGTACTACATAAGTGACTTCAAAGCCAAAGACTAAGTGACTTTCTCTCTAAGTGACATAGCCATTCAATTGTCCCAGTTATTTACTCTGTGCCTTCCTGTCCCAGAGCCCATGTTGGGCTGTGAGGCTCAGGAGGCTAACTCACCATGTACATGGCAGCAGCAACAGGCAGACAGAAGGAGTAGAAAGCTGTCTTGTACTTGACAAGAGATTTGTACCTGTGTAGTGGAGAAGATAAACCACTCAGAAGGCAATGCCCACTCTGCACAGCTTCTCACTGGCCAGACATGCTTCCCATGAGGCTCACCTCTTTTCAGTGTATTTACTGAGATCCACATGGTCCTGAGGAGCTGTGATGACATCTAGAGTCTGCCCAACCTCTGTCTGATAGGTAGTCTAAAGGAAAGGAACATGGTCATGAGACAAGACTTCTCCAGATACGGGACTGCAGACATCCAGGGCTTGCATCTCATGCCCCATCCCAGCTGACAACTGAGAAGTCAGAAATTGAGCTGGAGGCATGGAAACTCCAGACCCACATTCACGCAGGTACCTTATCACCACCCATAAGGGTGTGCGTAGCTTAAACCTGTCCCCCGCACTTAGCATCATGCCTGCCACCCACTCAGACCAAGCTCAGTGACTTCACCTCCCAAGGGGCTTGAGGACAACACCCCTTGGTCCTAGGCCCTTCTTGGCACAACCACCACACTCCCAGCCCTCTCGACTTCCTCTTTCAGGCAATCTCATGAGCACATCCTAGAGGCCAAGGCCACTGTGGCAACCTCTGGGCACAGGTGCTGACTGGTAGCACACCTGCAGGAAGAGCTCAAGCAGGTTCAGGTAGTAGGGCTGCTCTCGGCAGTAGAACTTCAGCAGACGATAGATACAGGCTTCTAGGAGGAGAGCATCATTGATAGCATCCAAACCTATGCCTGGCTGTTAGGGGCAAGAGAAAACAAGTCATTTATCTCTGCCCTTCATTTCTACCTAGAACTGTCACACCACCACCAGGCTGCAGGCAGTCACCTCCCCATGGAGGAGGGCCTGTCCTTGCCCACATTACCTTCTGATACCAGCAGACTTTTCCCCGCCGGGTAAGGGATGAGTCCATAATATCATCTGTCACCAGGAAGAAAGCTTGCAGCTAGAAAAAGGAAAAGATCCCAGGGCCCTTTACTATGCCTTCTGTGGGCAATAGCACAGATGCTCTACACGCTCCCTGTGAGTTGGGAAGGACCACTAGGGTGGGAAGGCCAAGGGCTTGTGTTACAGAAGAACTTGAAAGGTGACAAGACCTCTTTGGCTCAGATTCACTATCTGTAAGATGGGGCAACAATACTTATTATCAGGGTAACAGATGAAACTCTGACATCTCTTTTTTTTTTTTGTCTTTTTTCCTTTTTATCGGTACCAGGGATCGAACTCACGACTGCCTGCTTGAAAGGCAGGCGCTTATGCCACTGAGCTAAATCCCCAGCCCCCAACATCTCTTATTTTTAAAGAGAACAGAGTTGGGGCTGGGGATTTAGCTCAGCAGCATAAGCACCTGCCTTGCAAGCAGGCAGTCGTGAGTTCAATCCCTGGTACCGGAAAAAAGAAAAAAAAAGAGAGAGAAGAGTTGTACCCAGGCTGGCCTCAAACTCCAGGTTCTCCTGCCTCAGCTCCTAAATACTACAGCTACAGGCATGTGGATTTCTGTTAGCAGACTATAAAACACTTTCAGATAAGGTACTCCTTGCCAAAAACTACAATGAAAGATTATCTCATCATCAACTGAAAACACTACAAAGCCACAAAGGTGTCACATGCCTGTAATCCCAGCTGAGGCATGGGGATTCCAAACGTGAGCCAATCTAGGCAATTTATCAAGACCTAGATGTAGCTCAGTGAAAAGTGCTTAGAGTTCAATTACCAATATTGCAAATAAATACATATATACATACAAAAGACATCTTTAAAAAAACGTAAAAATCATTTCTTAGGCTGGGCATGGTGATGCACACCTGTAATCCCAGCACTCAGGAGGCTGAGGCAGGAGGAATGCTGCAAGTTCAAGGCCAGCCTAGCCTACATAATGAGTTCAAGGCCAGTCTGAACTATACAATGAAACCCTGTCTCAAAACAAAAAAATTAAATTTTTTAAATGTCTTTATACGACATTTTTTTTTTTTTTAATCGTTACTAAGGATTGAACCTAGGGCCTCACATACTAGGCAAGTGCTCTGCAACTGAGGTATACATTCACCTCCTCTCCAAGTCAGAGTCACACTACCACTGTGCTACCTCCCAACCCTCACTCTTTTTTTTTTTTTTTTTTTGGTGCCGGGGATCAAACTCACAACCTCACGTTTGCCAAGCAGGCACTTAGGCCGCTGAGCCTGTTTTTGTTTTTTGATACAAGGTCTCCCTATGCAGTTCAGGGTAGCCTTGAACTTGCCATGCAGTTCAGGCTGGCCTCAAACTCTAAGCCTTGGCCTCTAGAGTGGCCGGGGTCCCACACCGGCTTCTAACACCTCGTTCCACTCCTTTTTTCAAGACAGGGTCTCATTATGCAAGCCTAGCTGATGTAGTCAAGGCTGGCATTGCAGGAAGATCACAGTGAGTTTAAGGCTACACTTGACAATGGTACAAAGATACTCTCTCAAAGAAATTAGTGGGGGAGTACAGCTTGGGACATAGTTCAGTGCCATAGGCCCATAGCTCAACTTCCAGAACTGGAAAAAAAAAAAAAAAAAAAAAAAAAAAATATATATATATATATATATATATATATATAACCCAGACCTCCTACCACACAGTAAGGCTTTAGGCTAGGCCAGCAAACCATATAAACTTTCAAAGACCAAGAAGCCCAGAAAGAGAAGGCAAGGAGCTGTGAGGATGGAAGTAAAGCAGAGACATACAGGACAGCCTGTGCGCTGTCTTGGGGAAGCAGCTCCACTTGGCTTCAGCCAAGTATGTATGTTATCAAACATATAGATCCAGATGTTGCAAACTTCCAACTAATGCCAGGAATCTGGGTTGTTTTTTGGTTTAGTTCAGTTTTACAGTACCAAGAACTGAACACAGGGAGTGCTACATCTCCAGCCCTTTTTATTTTTTGACAAGTTGCTGCCAGGCTGGTCTCAAATTTCGCTATCCTCTTGCCTCAGCTTCATCACAACTGAAATTGCAGGAGTGTATAGCCTCACCTCATGGCATGAAGTTTAGAGATTTAGCTTAAAGCATTTTCAGAAACTTCCAGTGGGCTGCTAGTGTTCAATTTTTGCTTTACAATAATCTTTTTTGGAAGGAACATGGTTGACTTCCACTCAGAGAGAAAATATGACACCTTGCTGCCAAATTCTGTCACTTTTGGCAAAAGAGGTTCTGTTCACTGATTAATCCTTAAGTAAGTCACTGTGCCTAATCTGGCTGTAGCACTGGGCCCAGGAATACCTTGACTCTCCCTTCCTCACATAGCACACCCATTTAAAACAGCTTCTCACCAGTTCCACACACCAGCCCACGGTCATTGCTCGTTGCAGACTGTCCGCATCCTGTTTCCTTGAGTCCACCAGCTCTCGGAATGCCACTAGCACTGTCAAACCCCGGTTGTACTTGCCTCCAATGGCATTGTACTCCAGGATCTGCAGCCAGGAGAGAAGGACAGAGCATCAGGGTACACAGAGCAGTGACCATGACTTTTCCTTTACAATAACACCTAAACACAAACTCCCCCTCTCCAGAGAGCCCTTGGATTCTTTCTTCATTCCATCCCCAGAGTCCCATAGCACAGCTAGACGAGTTGCCAAGTGCCCAGTGCCTAGCAACTTTCCCTGGTAAATGCAAAGGCTCCTGCAGACTCAATTCTTCTTCACCGGAAATGACTAAATTTTGCTCCAAACCCAGAACTCTGGGAAAACACCCGTATAGAAACAGTTGACTTGCTCACGTCTCCCACCTGATTGTACCCCCAAGCACTTCCTCTTCACAATCTATCCCTACTGTCCCTACTTCCTCCTTCCCACAATCCCACCCATCTGCCAGTGAAACACCTGCATTGAAGACAGTGCTCCTCCACAGTTTGCCAGAGGAAGCTTAGAGGAGAGCCAAGTTGTGAGCCATTTCCCCCTCCTCCAATGGCACTTCCTCCTACTAGGGCCTTTCACTGTGCCTTTTACTGCCCTGCTGCCATCCAGAGCTAACTCAGAGGGAAGATATCCCTTTTAAACTGGTCATGGTGGCTCATGCCTGTAATCCCAGCACTCAAAAGGCTGAGGTAGGCGGATTGTTGGAAGTTCGAGACCAGCCTGGGCAACAAGGTGAGCTCAAGACCACCCTAAATTCATAGCAAGACCCTGTCTCAAAAAGACAAAAGAGTCCCTCTTAGTCCTTATTGCAGAATAGAAAAAGGTTCCCCCTCCCTTTGCCTTGGTTCCCTTCAGACAGATGAAACAGACCACATTCATAAAAAGAATATTACTAGATATTTCATGAAAATAAAGGGAAAAAAATAAAAGAACATGTTACAGCAACTCTCCCTGTCCTACAATAGGGATTTCTGACAATACAGTAACTCCTTTCCCTTAGCTCTCTGCAGAGAAATACAACCTCAGATGGCCTTCCCCCTAGATGTCTGCCACAGGAACATCTTAACATTTCAGGACACAGGGTCAAAGATTTAGCAGGTTCAAGGACTCTACTGCCAGAAAAGCAGTTTGGATGGTCCACCTTCTACACAATCAAAAGTCAGGGTGATGAGCTGCATTAGTATACCTGCCCAGACCCCAGTGACTCCAGGGATGACCCAGAGTCACTCAAGTGAAAGCCTCAACCCATATCCACAAGTCCCCCCACCCAGGCCCTCAGTGAATGTCACCCACATGCAGTGACAAAGTCTCACTTCCTCAAGTCATGAATCCCTCACCTCCTTGAGCCGGGCAATGACATCTCCTATTTCTGGGTGCCCTATGTCATCTTCAGTCAGCACTCTAACAATCTGAGAGAAGTGCTGGATGAAATTCTGCATTTCTTGAGCATAAACATCAGATTTCTGCTCTCCATTCATCCTGAGAGAGGAGCAAAGTGCTCTGAGAAAAGAAAGAACAAGTAAGAAACTTGACCAGGTGTGCCCCTCCCCAAAGCTCCTCCTAACCACACTCACCGAGGCTCCTCTGTCCACACTTGGCACCAGTAGCGGGCACCGTGCCAGGCCCCCAGGACTGGGCACCCGTGTATCAGGGAGGGGCTCCGTAGGGAACCTAGCCACCTCTCCCTGGGTGCCCAGCAGGGGGCTGGCAGCAGGAAGACCCCTACAGATCTCAGCAAGCGGGACAAGGGCATCGTGGGGGTGGAATAGGGAAAGGGCACGTGCACTCCCTGCAGGGGCAAGCAGCGAAGGCAGATGCAGGGAGACAACACCTGTATCACCCCCAAACCAAACTTTTGCCTCCTGGCCTCCCGCCCTATAGTGGCCAATATCTGGGTACAATTACAGATGAATATGTAGAAGACAAAAAATATTTCTGAGTGACTGAGATCCAACAGACCTTCACTTAAAACAAGGTAACTAAAACAACGCATTCAAGGTTCTGTGCACAAGGTGGTGGAGATAGCGCAAAAACGATACCAGGGATAAGGGGCTGCAGAGGACCTCAAATCACCCATTGTACAGAAACCAAAGGTTCCGGGAGGTAAAGAGCCAAGGAGCGGCAGACACAAATCTAGAATCCTGATCTACGCGCCGGGGAGCGGGCAGTAATGAGCCGGAACCCGTAGGTGCTGCGGGCATATAGTTTGCAACACCGAAACGGATTCCCGAGCCTCACAGGAGAGCTGGGACCACTCAGATGACCTCGGAACCGCTCCGGGAAGGTGGAGAGGGCTGGCAGTAGGAGTTAATCGGAGGTGCGGGCATCTTTGGAGCTTCAGGAAAGTACATGAGCAGAGTTGGGAAGTTTCCTCAAGAACAGAGAGGCCAGCCAGTCCGATCTACGGACTCCTAAAAGGTCAAGCCCGGCGCAACAGGCTAGGATCTCCGTGCGTCACTTTATTGCCGGAAGTAAGGCTAAGTCTGAGACCTCTACCTCCAGCCCCAACGCGCAACCATCCTCACCTGTTCTGGACGCTTCTCCTGCTCGGTCCAGATTGTTGGCGGGGTAAACCGAAAGAGGGTCCACGCTCGGCGCTGAGCCCTCTGGGTCGGGTAGTTCTCGATCTCCTCTAGCTGGCAGCAAGACTATGAAAGACTAGACTACAAATTCCGGCATTCCTCGGAAAGGGGCGGAACGAGGTGAGCGAGCGTGACTGGCGCTGTGGAGGCAGGCAACCTTGATTGGCTACTTACCCTCGCGTGAGTATGGGGCTCTGTGACGGACGACCAATAGGAGGGCTGCTCGCCTTGTGAAAGGTCAGGAGACAGCTTTAGGGTCTAGGTGGTGTAGGGCATGAAGCCAGAAGCATTTGAGGCTGGGAACTCTCAGTCTGGCTGTAGCCTTGGCTCTTTGCTTCAGTTTTATTCTCTTCGCGTACAGCTGACTAGCACGTTAGTAAAACCCCAGCAAAACAAACTTACCACCTATTCTTAGTCGGAAAAATCACTTAAAACCCAGGATCTTCAGTTGACTTTCCTGAAACTGGCTTTGCTCATCTGTTGAATGAGATAGCTGGAGCTGGGTTCCCTCTCCATCCATTCACCACGCAAAAATTATTTACTGCCAGCTGTGGTGGCTCAAGCCTATAATGCCTGCACTTGGGAAGCTGAAGTAGAAGGTTCTCGTGATCCTGTGTAACGTAGGCTAGAGTGGGAGCTGCCTAAAAAAAAGGGGGGGTGTATTTTAGCGACATAAACACCTTCCTGGCAAGTGAGGGGTTCTGAGTTCGATCTCCAGTACTAAAAAAAAAAAAAAAAAAGGTGCTTATGCCGCTGAGCTAAATCCCCAACCCCAGGATCTGCTTTGTGGAAGGAGAGATGTTCCTGGAAATTGAACCCAAGGTCTCACCCATGCTAAGCAAGCATTCTACCACTGAACTCCATTATCAACTTTTTTTCTTTTTTTTTCTTTCTGTTTGTCTGTCTGTCTGTCTGTCTGTCTTTCTTTCTTTCATTAATGAGACATCATTATCTCCCTGTGTAATTCCAGCCTGTGCCAACCTGGGCTGACCCCAATTTGAAATCCTTCTGCCGCAACCTCCTGAGTCCTGGGATTACAAGTGTGTTGCACCATGCCCAATTCTAAAAAAAAAAAAAAAAAAAAAAAATTAAAGGGCTAAAGACATAGCTTAGGGGCAAAGGCCCTGATTAAGTCTGGTTTCTGGTTTTGTGTTGTTCTTTTGTGTATTGGGGGTTGGACCAGGGCCTTTACACTGAGCTACATCTCTAGTTTTTTGTACTTTTTTTTTTTTTTTTTTTTTTTTTTTTTGAGACAGGGTCTCACTAAGGCTAGTCTCAAGCTTGTGATCTTCCTGCACTGGCCTCCAAGATAACTGAGATTGCGGGTATGCACCATCATGCCAAACTCAGAGTTTCTGTTTGAGCTGGTGAAAAGTTTGGGAAACTGGTAGTGAAAATGATTGCAAAGCATTATAAATGCACTTAATATCCCTAAACTGTATATTTCAAAGTGATTAATTTTATCTTATAGTTTATCACAATGAAGGGCCCAGACCAACCCTATACCTCTGGCAGTATCCTCACTTGTGTGAGTGAGGGTTCCAAGGATGGATTTCAGGGGATCCAAGACAAAAAACATGAGGACAACCAAGTCCTCTCAAGAGGAAGGAAGAACATATAGCAGGCTAAGATAGATTGTTGCTAAGACTGTAAAAGTTGGTTCTGGGTAGTATATATTGTGCTATTCTGTTGTCTGCATAAAAAAGGAAAAGATTGAGCCTGGTATGGTAGCTCACGCCTGTAATCCCAACACTCGGGAGGCTGAGGCAGGAGGATCGTTTGGAGTTCTAGACCAGCCTGGGCTACAAAGTGAGCTCAAGGCCAGCCTGAACTGCATAGTGAGACCCTGTCTCAAAAAAAAAAAAAAAGACCAAATTAAAAAAAAAAGAAGGAAAAGATTGTACATCATTTGTTTCTGACAGAAATATCAGGGAAGGGCTGGGGATTTAGCTCAGTGGCTTAAGTGCTTGCCTGGTAAGTGCAAGGTCATGAGTTCAAACCCTGATACAAAAAAAAAAAAAAAAAAGAGAGAGAGAGAAAGAAAGAAATATCAGGGAGGGTGCCTAGAAAATTCAGAAACTGGTGAGGTGTTATGGGGACCTGAGCAGTCGGGGAGGCTTAGTGAAAAAGGTGAAGTTCTTCACCCATATCTTGTACCTCTGGAACTTGTATATTGCCAAATACCTATTTAAATAAATGGACACACATTTTGAAGAAATTCTGCGGCTTAGGGTGTCACCTCCGGAGCTCTCCTACAGTCAAACGGTCGCTCCGTGTTCCACGTGCAGACAACAATGACTCGGTGCTGTTTTGGAACTACGCTCACAGGCTTCCACCAACATTATCGTCCCGCAGCCTTGCGAAGGTTTGTTATCTCAGACTGCAGAGGAAGAAACTGAATTCCCCGCTTTTTTAAGAGGCCATGTGCCCCTTTATTGTCACCAGGGACCTGCGGCTCTCGGGCGCCCCCTGCAAGCCGGCCGAGGACCTTCCCGGCGGAGACCCGAGGTTCCCAGGTGTACAGATGGAGGTAGCCTTGGGCATACTGTAGGTGTGCGAGCCCGGGAGAACTCTGTGAAATCCAGCTGTTCCCGTGTGTGATTCTGGGAATGTGTATGTGTCGGTGAGTGGGAAGCGGTAAGGTAGAGTGCGTGCATGTGTGTCTAGGTGTAGCATTGACAGCCTCAGATCTTGACTCATTAGGGCCCCAGTGTTAGCTCTGCAAAGCCACCCTGACCCCCTCTCTCCTGGGCCCTTCTGTGTGCTGGACACAATTCCCCCATTCGTTAACCGGTCAAAGCTGAGTGTATGGCACACACCTGTCATCCCAGCACTCAGGGAATTGAGGCAAGATGGCCATGTTTGTGATTGAGTGTGTGTCTGAGTGTGTATGTTTGCAGGGAAAGGACAAAACTGATACACCTAATTGTAGAACCCTGTGGTTGGTTTTTGTTGTTGTTGTTGTTGTTGTTGTTGGTACCAGGAATCAAACTCATGACCTTATACTTGCCAGACTGGTGCTTGTGCCACTGAGCTATATCCAGCCCCTGTGCTTGTTTTGTCTTGGGAAGTCCTTGCTACTGTGTAACACACACACACACACACACACACACACACACACACACACCCCACTATGTAGTTCAGGCTGGCTTCACTATGTAGCCCAGGTTCCTCTTGAATTTGCAGTGATCCTCCTGTCTCAGTTACCTGAGTGCTGAAACTGTAGGAATAGGCCACGCCCAGCCAAAAGGGAGCAAGCAGCAAAAGGGACCATGGGCCGAGAATCTGTGTAACCCATTCTTTTGCAATATTCAGACACCTCCCTTTCCCTCACCTTAGGACTCTGAGACAGTCCAAAGAAGTACAGAATGGAGCTGAGTGGTGATTCCCTTGGGCCTGAATCTCAGCTCTACTACTACTGGCACTGCACATACACACACACTATATATAGGCACCTCTAGGTTCTTCCCTAGAGCCTTGACATATATGTCCATGACCACAGAAAACTCCTTTTCTCCCTTTGCCCCTGGTGTTTCCTTCTTTCAACATGTTAACATCAAAGAGCTCCTCCCTTTCATCTCATCTAAAATACATTCCCAGGACTGGGGATTTAGCTCAGCGGCATAAGCACCTGCCTTGCAAGCAGGCAGTCGTGAGTTCAATCCCCAGTACCGATAAAAAGGAAAAAGACAAAATTATAATAATAATAATAAAATACATTCCCAGCCAGGCATAGTGGCATGTGCCTATGACCCTGTGACTCTTGAATTCCAAATATAAGCCCAGCTTGGACAACTTAGTGTCTTAAAAAGAATTTTGTCAAAATTAAAAGAATAAAAATGGCCCTGATTTCAATCCTTAGTGCTATAATTTAATTAAATTAATTTAATTTCATTGTTTTGTTTTATTTTTGAGACAGGGTCTTGCTCTATAGTGCAGCTGGCCTTGAACTCACTATGTAGCCCAAACTGACCTCAAACGCATGGCAATCCTCCTGCTTCAACCTTCCAAGTGCTAGAATTATAAACATGTGCCACCTCTCTGGGCCATAATTTAATTTAAGACATTCTCCTGTTCCATCTGTTCCAGAACCATGATCCCTGCCTCAATAGCACTTACAAAGTATAGTTTCCTTGATATTTTGTTATAATCTCTCTCTCTCCCCATTATATTGCTATAAATTCAACTGATAGGAAAGACTCAATTTTTTGTTTGTTTGACTTGGTTTGGGTTTTCAGTACTAGGAACTAAACCCAGGAAATGAGCACTCCTATCTGCCTGGACTCTGACTTCTAACTTTTTTTTTTTGTCTTTTTCTCTTTTTCATTTTTATTGGTACTGGGGATCGAACTCAAGACTGCCTGCTTGCAAGGCAGGTGCTTATGCCGCTGAGCTAAATCTCCAGCCCCTTTACTTTTTTCTTTTGAGACAAGGTTTTACCTTATTGCCCAAACTGGCCTCAAATTTGCAATCCATTTGCCTCAGGCTCCCAAGTAGCTAGAATTATAGCTGTGTGTCACCAGGTCTGGCTAGGCTCTGTCTATCTTGCTCACAACTGTATTCTCAGGGCCTATCAAACATGAGGTACTTGATAAATATTGGAAGGTAAATGGTAGAGAATGTGATGATGATGATGATGATGATGATGATGATGATGATGATGATTGATGGTGAAATCCACCTCTGGAGAACCCTACTGTTCATCAAAGCTAAACCTACAGCAAGAGTCATACAACAGAGGTAGCCAGGAAGTACCTACAGAGACCGAACCATACCACACCCAAACAGAGCATGTAGGGATTCCTAAGAAAGAAGCACTAAATGGTAGGATGACGGGTCCAAAATCACTTATTAGAGGACTTTATGTTGAGGGGGGCTACACTGTATCCTTTCTGTGCACAGCAAGATGAAGAATGTTCTACCTGGGTAGCGAAGGTTGTTGGGTTATGCAGTTTTTGTGTGGGTTGAAGAAATTTGCCTCAGGTAGGGCTAGCTCCTATGTTTAGCAACCCCATGTTCAGCAACAGCCTGAGGTTTGTCAGCACCTAGGAATACTCAAGACATCATCTTGGGTTGTGGCTGCCCACATCACACAGTGGTCTCTGTATTCCTTGGTCAGGACAAAGAAAACAAGTGGGGAAACCGAGGGACCAGTCACCTATCACACTATGAAAAGGTTTCCCTTCCTATTTCTTCAGACTTAGTGGCTTCGGGAACACCCTGAGCTCTAGATTCATCTAGCATTCGCTTCAATAAAGTGGAAAAAATAGAGATGATTTTTAAAAATCTCTATTCAGGTTGATGACTAGGCAGTGTGAATGGATTGAAAATCGATCAAAAAGATGGGTGAGATAGAGAAATGGCAGAGGCAGGAGCAGAGAGCAGAGGTCTTGGGGAGTGGTTCTGGAGGGACAGGGCTGCCCACTGGGTGTGTGCCTTCTGCATTCTCTGGCTCCTATAGATAAGACCAGCAGTTTTGTCACTTTCTCCTCTCAGTGCGCACGTTTTGGAAGCATGTCAATTCCTAACAGTCTACCTCAGCAGCTCTGCCCATGGATCTCACAGTCTCAAAGAGACTTAGCCAAGTCCGTTCTCATTGGAGCTCCAGGAGGTAAGAAGGGGAACAGAGGAGGAAATAAGCATGGACATCAGGAGTGTGGCAGAGGACCAGGATGGATCTGTGTCTGTCAAAGTGTAGACCCTGGTCTAGGCCTCCTGTCCAGGTCCTGCAGGCTGGTGCACGGGGCACTCCCATGCTGCCTGGACTCTGAACCTTGGCATACAAGCTGGAGAGACACTAGTGATACTTTAACTAGTGTCACTGCACAGCCCAGCTCAGCCCCAGGCACTGGACCTCAGGGCTGGACACAGTGCAAAGCAGATCTACAGAGATGGACTCCGACTACAGAGGCATGGAAGGTGAGACTAGACACAGGGCTTCACTGGACCAAACTCATGCCCTGGGCCTGAGGTAGCATTAGTGGCACATGGAAACTGGGCGCAGGGGAGGCAATCCGTGCCAGGTGTTGCCAGAAATAAATGAGGACCTTGGAAGAGGGAACTGGGTAATCCTGGCATGGATAATGAAATCCTACTATGCATATGGTGGCAGGTCGAAGAGGGGGAGCCTGGGGACAGAAGTCAGGTATAGGTGCGTGACTGGAAATTGAGCCTAGAATTGGTAAGATCTAGATCTGAGTCTCATCTTCGTTACTTAGAAGCCACATGCCCTTGGGTAATATATTTTACTGTTCTCTTTTGCCCTATTGTAAAGTCAGGATGTGAGTATTAGTAAGAGTATCTGTTCCATAAGTCCCTTGGTCACGTGTACATGATGCCCATGTACAAGGTCATGTGTATGTGATGCCTAGCACAAAGGGAGAGTTCTTCACACAAGGGAGTACCCACAGAAGGCGTGTGGGAGCTGAGATGCAGCCTCTGAGCCCCTTCTACTGCAGGGCCGGCAGGGTACCTGCGGCGAGCCAGTGTGACCCAGCTGACCCAGGAGCTGGGCACCGCCTTCTTCCAGCAGCAGCAGTTGCCAGCTGCCATGGCTGACACTTTCCTGGAACACCTCTGCCTGCTGGACATAGACTCAGAGCCAGTGGCTGCTCGCAGCACCAGCATCATCGCCACCATTGGTAAGGCCATCTTGTTGTGCTTCCTTAACTTCACTGTCTTTCAGCACAGTGCCATGTTTGATACAACTATTCATTCAGTAATTATCTTTTATTGTTGTTTTTTGCAGCACTGAAATTTTTTTTTAAGATAGAATCTCACTTTGTAGTTCAGGCTGTCCTTGAACTCACTATGTAGTCTAGGCTGCCCTCAAACTCATGGTAATCATCCTGCCTCAGCCTCCTGACTGCTGGGATCACGGGTATGTGCCACCATGCCCAACTATGTCTAGCCTTTTTATCATTTTTTTTGTTTTTACTAGTCTGACAGTCTTGTGTGTTGCTAAGTCTAGGCTCATACTATAATCCTCCTGCCTCAGCTTTCCAACAGGTGTGCATTGAACAAATATTTGTTGGGCACGTAATAGGCAAGGCTTGGGACCCAGGAGTGGGTGCAGATGGAGGGAGTGTAGATCAGAGAAGAAAGCAAACAGCAGTTCCCTTAAGGAACTGATACCTTTGCTGGATAAAACAATAAATAATAAAACATTTATTGCAAAATAATGTGTTAGAGAGTAACAAATATTATGGGAAAAAAGAGAGACATGGTATACAGTAAGGGAATAAGGGATGTGAAATGGGAGACAGGTTACAGCCCCAGACAGGAAGGGCAGGGCAGCCACTGGGAGACAGTTACAGGTAACAGCAGCCATTAGGAAGCTAGAGTACCTAAAAGCATTAAGGGCAAGATAGATGGGAAGAGACAGGAATGAGGGAGGACAGGGCAAGGGTTCATAGGCCATTAGAATGACATTGTCCTCCACTCGTGGAGGAGACTACGCAATCTTGAGCAAGCTCTCTGTATGTAATTATGTACATACGGTTTTTGGTTTCTTGAGACAGAGTCTCTATGTATTTCAAGCTGGCTCTGAACTCAGTAAGTAGCACAGGCCGGCCTCAAACCCCTGGCGATCTGTCTAGCTCAGTCTCGGCAGTGCTGGGATTGTGGTCCTATGCCACCAAGCCCTCCTGTTCTACCAGAACCACTTGCTGCTGGACTGAAATAGGTTGGGGACTGGCGGGGTTAGGACAGAAACTGCTTCTGCGGCACTTCTGGCTCGGCCCGGGTGGTGGCGGTGGAGGCTGGAGGCAGTGAGAAGTGGTCAGATTCAGAAGGCGCCGTGCGGGCGGAGCCCGTGGGATCTCCAGATGGACCCTGTGGGGATGAGGGTGAGGAAGAGGGAAACTGGAAGGCGAGAGGCGGAAGGAGGCAGCGTTATCAACTGGTCAAAAAGCTGGTGGAAAGTTACAGGAGAGTCTTCAGGAGTCCAGCTGAGATGTGTCCAGGTATTGAAGCACGTATTAATCATCCAGGGGAGCCAGGAGTGTGGCACACCCGTAATCCAATCCCAGCACTACGGTGGCGAAGGCTGGAAAAGTATGAGCTCAAAGCCAACATGGATTACATAGTGACTTGGCGAGACTCTAAAATAAAAATTAAATTAAAAAGGGCGGGAGACGTAGCTCATTGAGAAAGCTGTGGGTCCAGTCCAAAAAAAAGGAACATGGTGGAGGAGGATCACTGCAAATTCAAGACCAGCCTGGGCTACAAAGTGAGCTCAAGTTCAGCCTGAGCTGCATAGCAAGACCTTGTCTCAAAATGGGAAAAAAAAAAAAAAAAATTCAAGACACAGAAACAGAGAAAGACCAGATGACTAGGTGTATTCTGAGCAAGGTGATGGGTTGATTGTCTCCCAGGTTTAGAAGGAAAATCTGAGCTGGGTCTCTGGTTCCAGGGCCGGCATCTCGCTCCGTGGAGCGCCTCAAGGAGATGATCAAGGCCGGCATGGACATTGCACGACTCAACTTCTCTCATGGCTCCCACCAGGTGGGAAGGGCGAGAAGGGTGAACCGGAGGTCGCCGGGTCCTAGGCACTTTCTCCTGAAATTCCGACCCGCTCCGCCTCCAGTATCACGCAGAGTCCATCGCCAACATCCGGGAGGCAGCGGAGAGCTTTGCAACCTCCCCCTTCAGCTACAGGCCGGTGGGCATCGCTTTGGACACCAAGGGCCCTGAGATCCGCACCGGGATCCTGCAGGGGGTGAGAAGGGGGGTCAGGGCTGGGGGTGGCGGTCAGGGGCGGCTGGTGGGGACTTGAAGCTCACTTCTCTGGCCCTAGGGCCCCGAGTCCGAAGTGGAGATTGTGAGGGGCACTCAGGTGCTGGTGACTGTGGACCCGGCCTTCCGGACCCGGGGGGACGCGAACACCGTGTGGGTGGACTACTGCAACATCACCCGGGTCGTGCCAGTGGGGGGCCGCATCTACATTGACGACGGACTCATCTCCCTTGTGGTCCGGAAAATCGGTGCGGACCGCCAGGTCCTTCCTGCCCACCCCTTGGTGCCCCCTTCACCCTTAAGCCCCTATACTCTTGTCACCCTATACTCCCCACCCATCTGGAGTCACCCACACCCAAACTCCTATCCTAACCCTGGGGTGGGGCTGAACTCGTGGGTTGGTCGTCTCATACAGATTTCCACCCGCCACTTATTGTGTGTGGAACCCACAACAAGGCCGAGAGAGAAGGGCAAGGCACGGGTCAATCTCCTGAAGGCCTATCCAGCGTTCCCCCTTGTCTGTAAGCCCAACCTCTCTGCTAATGGAAGCTTGCTCTCTCCCTGTCCTCAGGCCCAGAGGGGCTGCAGACTGAAGTGGAGAGTGGTGGCATCCTGGGCAGCAGGAAGGGCGTGAACTTGCCAGGCGTCGAGGTGGACCTGCCCAGCCTGTCAGAGCAAGATGTCAAGGACCTGCGTTTCGGGGTGGAACATGGGGTGGACATCATCTTTGCCTCCTTTGTGCGGAAATCCAGCGATGTGGTTGCTGTACGGAATGCCCTGGGGCCAGAAGGACAGGGCATTAAAATCATCAGCAAAATCGAGAATCATGAAGGCGTGAAGAAGTGAGCCTTTTACTGTCTCTTCTGCCTGCCTCTCCCTGGTGTATCCTGCTTTGTTCCAGCCCTGATTCCTCCATCTGCCCAGGTTTGATGAAATTCTGGAGGCAAGCGATGGCATCATGGTGGCACGAGGGGATCTAGGCATCGAGATCCCAGCTGAGAAGGTTTTCCTTGCTCAGAAGATGATGATTGGGCGCTGCAACTTGGCGGGCAAACCCGTGGTCTGTGCCACACAGGTCTGCAGTGAGCCTTTGGGGCTAGGACGGTCTGAGGTTTTAGGGACACTGAGGGAAAATACCCACACCTTAAGTCCATAGCACATCCTGCTGTCTGGTGTTTGACCCCCAAATAATGAAGTTAGGTAGAGATACCATGACGCACCCACTCTTTTTTTTTTTAGTAAGAAGGGAGTCTAAGTCTGGCACTCGAGGACTATTTGTCTCAGTCTTTGACACCTGATTTGGCCCTTGGACTTTCCACTGCCTATGGGTACTGTTTTTTTTTTGGGGGGGGGGTACCAGGGATCAAACTCAGGACTTTCACTTGCTAGGCAGGTACTTTTGCCAATGAGCTAAATTGCCAGCCCCAAATAACATGCTTCTCCTTACAGATATGCTTAGGAAAGTGCAAGGTCCTGAGTTTGACCCCTGGTACCAATAAAAAAAAAAAGAAAAAAAATATGCTTAGGAGTTTTTTGTTTCTGTACTGAGGATCAAACTCATGACCTTACACTTGCCAGGCAGGTGCTGTGCCACTGAGCTACATCCCTAACCCTGGCAGACCCCCATTTTTTAGGTGAGGAAACTCAACTGCCCCAGGGTCACACAGTTTATATCTTTAATCCTGGCTTTAAGGGGTCTGGATATAGGGGTGTCAGGGAAAAACCATGAGCAGATTTCCCACCAGTGTGTGACTCCTAACATGCTGCCATCCATGGCCTCCCCCAGATGCTGGAGAGCATGATCACAAAGCCCCGGCCGACACGAGCAGAGACCAGTGATGTAGCCAATGCTGTTCTAGATGGGGCCGACTGCATCATGTTGTCAGGGGAGACTGCCAAGGGCAACTTCCCAGTGGAGGCCGTGAAGATGCAGCACGCGGTAGGAGCTTAGAATGAAAAGCAAACGGGCAGGAAACCAAACCCCTTCTGGACCTCAGTGTCTCTGTCCAACCTGACTTCCTGTTGCTTACAGATTGCTCGGGAGGCAGAGGCTGCAGTGTACCACCGGCAGCTTTTTGAGGAGCTACGCCGGGCAGCACCTCTGAGCCGTGACCCCACGGAAGTCACTGCCATCGGTGCTGTGGAGGCTGCCTTCAAGTGCTGTGCTGCTGCCATCATCGTGCTGACCACAACTGGCCGGTGAGGAAGATGCTGGGAAGCCCAGACAGGGTGTTACATCAGGCATAGGCAGGAATAGGCCATAGCCTGGGTGTAGGCTGATCCTCGGGGGTGAAAGATAGTGCCCTAGGGCAAGAAGAGAAGCCCCTATGAGAGGCGGAGGCTGGGAGAGGCAGGACTTGGAGTACCCCAGGACTCATGCCAGAGAGGTACAGGGCACTGGCAGGGCACATGGCATCACCGAGCACACTAGCTTTGGGGCCGTTGGACTCTTGGGGCTGGGGACAAGTCCTTTTAGCCCACAGATTTACAACACTGAGATGTTGCTCAAAGCCCCAGTAGGTCTGAGTTCACGTCTTTGCTCTGAAACTCAGCAATGACACCTTGGGTAACTCACCGGGCTCTGTAAGCCTGCTCATCTCCTCAGGCTTGTGAATTAGCCATTTGTTCCTCATGGGGTGCTGAGAATTAATAAGAGACATGAATTCTATGTAGTTAAGTGCTGTATGATGTACGTTCTCTAAAACTTTTTTTTTGGGATAGGGTCTTGCTATGCAATTCAGGCTGGTCTTGAACTCACTATGTACCTTGAATTCATGGTTATTACCCTACCTCAGCCCCCCGCCTCAGCTTCCCAAATGCTGGGATCACAGGCATGTGCCACCATGTCTGGCCACTTTATGTTTCTTTTCTCTTTATCTATTTGGCATATCTTTTCTATCTCCTGTCTTCCTTGTGTAGTAGGAAGAAAAAATATTCTTATACTGGTTTTGCAGGGCCCAGAGAAGTATGATGACCTACTCAGGCTCACACAGTTTGTTGGTGACACCTTGTTTACTGGTTCAACACCCATTTGCTGCTCTGGGCTGACCTTCTCTGCCTCCTCCAGCTCAGCTCAGCTTCTGTCTCGGTACCGACCTCGGGCAGCAGTCATTGCTGTCACCCGCTCTGCCCAGGCTGCGCGCCAGATCCACCTGTGCCGAGGAGTCTTCCCCTTGCTCTACCGTGAGCCTCCAGAGGCCATCTGGGCAGATGATGTGGATCGCCGGGTCCAGTTTGGCATTGAGAGTGGTGAGATTCCAAGACCTTCCTCCCTTCCTGGCACTTGCATGAAAACCATCCCCCACACCAGCTTCCCACACCCACTCAGATCCTTGCCTGTCTCCTCTGCCCCAGATTTTCCCTCCAAGATTACAAAAACTCAGAGGTAAAAAGAGAGAGAGACTGAGAGGTAAGGGACTCTAATCAGGGGGCGGTTAAGCTGAGCCATGAAGAGGGAGAAGGGCAGGGCCCAGCTGCTGCCTGTCCCAGATGGCTAGAGCTCATTGTAACAGTGAGGAAGCCGAAACATCTGGAACTAAAATCAAATTTACAGGTAATCATACCTGATGTCTTCTTATCAGCATAGCCTCAGCTTGCTACTTAGCAAGATGTACGCTATTCCACTCGAGGACATGTGACCACTTTAACATACCACAGTGGTCACGTTCCCTGCAGGGCCTGGGTTCACTTCAGGTTCCTCATTCCTTCAAGGTGGCCTTGAGGCAGGGAGTGTAGCAGCTTCCCCTTACAGGGCTACCTGGCCACCCTCAGTGACTGGCTGTCATCTTTCCTTCCCCTAGGAAAGCTTCGTGGCTTCCTCCATGTTGGGGATCTGGTGATTGTGGTGACAGGCTGGCGACCTGGCTCTGGCTATACCAACATCATGCGGGTCCTGAGTGTCTCCTGAGAGGCCCTCTTCCTCCAACCCAGCCCCCCACCCCTTCCTTCCCTACTTGGCTCCCTCCGACACACAGCCTCTGTCTCTGTACACCCACGCTCCCAATCTGAGACCACATCTGCCATCTAGCCCCATTCTAGGGCACCCCTCCTCCTCTCTGTTTCTCACAGCCCTTGAAAGTCTGTGTCCAATTATGTGCTGGCTGTCCAGCAGCACTGATCCTACATTCTCCGTATCTAATCCCTAACGTGATCCTTTAATCCAGATCCTTTAATCTCAGCTTGACTGGTTAACTCCCTTTCTCCAGGGTTCCCATCCCTGGGGCTGGGGAGAGGAGACAGGGCCATCTTGTCCACCATGGCTATAGAATCACTATTTCACAACACTTTGTGTCCATGCAGCCTATTGCTTTCCTTTGTGGCCCTCATGGTCACCTGGGAACAATGCCACCTCCTCCTGATGGCCTCAAACCAGGACAGGTTATGTCCTTGTGATGACTGATAGAGCCATCAAAGCATGCTCTGAGGGCAGTTGGGACAGACGGTTCCTGGGATGAACCAGGAGCGAGCACATCTTGGCTAGCACAGCCTCGGTGCTGGGTTTGCAGACCACTTGCCTGGCCGCTGTCATGATACCTCATGCCTGGTGGGATCCAGTGTCCCCCTCCTGCACCCAGAAATTCCTTCACACCCATTTTATTCCCAGACACAAACCAGGAGTCAAAATGAGTATCTTTTCTTTTTAAACCCAGCTGTTTCAGAGCAATAATAAAACTTTCCCCATACACCAAGAACCCGGAACTCTCGCAAGGAAAGAAAGGAGATTTAAGGCCCTGGGCCCCCCACATTCTTTTATGCTGCAGAAGAGGAGAGGGGGACAGAGTGGATGGGTAAGGGATTATACTTGTCCCTGAGAAGGCAAAGGGGCTGGCTGGGTTGCCCTTCCCCAGGCTTGGACACCTCGGGCCCTCCTCTTACTCCTGCACTAACAGCAGAGTCAAGAGAAAAACTCATCAGTGAAAACCATCTTCCTCCCCTTCTCAGGCAGCCCCTCCTGTCCTTACCTACATAGGGAGAGGGTTCGAATATTGCTGATGGCATTGTTTGAGGACCACAGAGGCTGGCATGAAGGGACAGGTAAAGGAATCGGTAAACAAAATAGGTTGGCACGTCAAATTAGCAAATGAACAAATAAGTAAAATTAATAAATAACTGTATAAAGAAGACAAAGAAAAGGTCACGTAAGGGTTCAGCTACTTACCCCCACCCAAGGGAATCTAGGCTAGTACACTAAGGGGATGCCAGTTGTCCTTTAGCTTCAGAGGAAGACACCACAGGGACACAGAAAGAGGCAGCTCCTAGCTTAGGCAAAGACAGTCCTACCACACAGACAGATGCGTATTCCCACTCAGAGGCTGTAGACTGGGAGGGTCCACAGGTGGCAGTAAGAAGCCAAAGGTGATACGAATGCCCACACTCGGGACCCAAGATATTTGTCAGCAGCAATGGAGGCACAGGTAGTTGACAGTACCCATCTACACTAAAGGGACAGAAAGATAATCACAACAGACTAGCCTTGCAGGGCCATTGCTAGGAAACAAACATCTAGTTACTGGGCAGTGATGGTTGTGGCAAGTATTTGTGCTTGCTTAGTAAAGAGAGGGGGTCATAGGTACAGGCCTGCACCTGGCAGGATCAGGGCCAGGAAGTACCTGGGCAGAGGACTCTGGGTCACTTCTACTTGGCAGTGGAGACACAGTGCCCAGCCTGGTGCCTTCACTGTCGTAGGCTAGGTACACAAGACAAATGGGTGAATGAACTAAGATATCAGACAAGCTGTGGCTGCTTGAGCTTAGGATACGAGAACTCTTCGTGGTGATCAGGGAGGCACTCTTTTGAGTCCTCTGGACCTTCCCCAAAAGGCATCTGCCCTCAGGCACATACTGTTGCACCCTAAGAGCTAAGGCCTGTGTAACCTAGGGTTTCACATATTGGCAGAGAGCTGAGGGCCCCGGGGGGTGACTGGCTCAGGCACTGGTGGCCTGGGTGGCTGGGATGTCCCTGTAGGCTTGGACAGGATCCCCGAGGGTGGGAGGCGCTCACTTCCTGAGCCCTTCCGCCCAGGAGAGCCATCACCTGTCACTCGCTGAGGCAGAGAAGGTTGGGAGGCTGAGAGTGGGCGGCCCCGAGGTCCTAATCTACGTCCACCGCCTCCTGGGGGAGGGCCCAGCAGGGACACCTGGGAGCGCCCTGCCCGGGAAAGGCTGGCATGGAGGGTTCGGACTGATGGGGCAGGCAGGCGGGAGGTGGATGCCCATGGCCCCTGTGCCAGCAGAGGGCCAGCTCGGACAGGTACCAGTGGGGAGGCTGGGGAACCTGCTGAGCGCCGAGCAGAACGAGCCAGGAAGGTGGCTGGAGAGTCAGGGGAAAGGGACAGAGGGCCACGCTGGTGAGTCAGGGCAATGGCCACGTTGGAGGTGACAGCAGCTGCTTGCAGAGGTGCATGCACCAGTGGCTCCCACAGCACTGGCTTTCCGCTGAGCAGAGCTCCTGTGCCTGGGGCCAGGCCACGAACACCCCGGGCCATGTCCCTATCGTGTTGGACCAGGTGCTGCTCCATGATGCCACTGCTGCTGCCTGGACTTGGTTCTGAGGGTTTTCGATGCAGTATGGAATTCTTCTTGCCTAGAAGTCGCCCCAGGAAGGAAGAGTTAAGGATAGGGAAGGAATTCAAGATAGATGTTGGATACTGAAGAATGTAAAGCTACCTGGGTGCAGTCAAGGGATGGGGTGGCATTGGGAGTAGGGACTGGGAGGACTCAGGAGTATGGAGAAGCTGCTGGGACAGGGACTGAAGACGGGTTAGAAGGAATGGGTATGGATCAAGATGGAGAGGTTGAGGGACTGGTACTCAGCAGGAGGCATCAGGGCAGGGGGACTGGATAAGATCTCCAGGTGTAAGACATGCTGAGAACAGTGGGCCAGTGTTGAAAGTCCTGTTGGGGGCATTTGCTGGGACGAGGGGGCTTGGAGTGTGACGTGCTGGACTCCTTGCTATGGAGATGGGGTGAAGCACAGCTGGGACTCAGAGTGGACAGGGTGGACAGTCCTCACCGATGCGGCGTAGCCGGTCCATGGCCACAGTCTCAAAAGCCCGGCGCATCATCGGGAATTCCTCAAGCACAGCATTGAAGTGGTCCACACTTAGGGAGTAGAGGCGGCAGTAGGTGTCGGCCCGAACACTGGCCGTGCGCCGCCCCCGAGTCAGCAGGCAGATCTCTGCAGAAGTCAGAAGAAGGCTCAGAACCACTGTCCTCAGAATCCTCCCTAGACTTGGGAGAACCTAATGCTTAGCCTTCCCCTTTACTCAGAATCCCTAAATGCTCCAAGAATTGTCTCTCTCCAGACCTGCACAATTTCTGCGCAATTCTTCTTGATTTTACTCTCTTCATATTAAACTGATAAGAATAGCCAGTTATAATGGCATATAGTGTAATCCTAGAACTTTGGAGGTTGAAGCAGGAGGATTGCTATGAGTTGGAGGCCAGCCTGGGCTACATAGCAAGATCCTGTCTCAAAAAAAAAAAAAAAAAAAAAAAAAAAGTGCAACAAGCAGGTCTTGCTGGCCTCCAGATTTCCAGTGACTCCATCCACTTTCAGCCCAGATGCAGCTCCTCTGCTTCATCCCCAGGGATATAGCAGGGACAACTCACCCTGTGTACCTCCCTTCCCATCTCAAAGGATGAATACCAAAGACCATTCTAGAGGAGAAAAGCAGTGCCAAAGTGGGGAGGGCAAAGGGCACCTGGACAGAGCTAATGGACGTCTGTAATGACTTGGGGCTGGGAGGTTACATGAACCTCAAATCACTTTGAGCACCAGCTTCAGATCCGCCCCACCCCATTGCCACAGGCCAAGTCCCTGAATCATGCTGCCAGGACAGCTCCATGAAGCTCAAGCCCCTGGGACAGTTCTGCTTCATCCCTATCTTTCCTAAATGCATAGGATCCTTAGATGTCAGTGGGTAGGAGTCCCAAAAGGCCCTCCATCCCCATAATTGCAAACCTGCCTGTGAACTGCAATCTCCTGAGAAGCTTTAAAAACTATAGACCCTGGGCCCTGACCCAGCTGCCCTCACTGAGCAGCCCTGGGCTGGAACACCACAGCTGGGTAGGGACTCTGATCCCAGGGAGCAGTTGCCCTCTATCTAGTGGTTGTGACCTTACCACCCTCCCTGAGGCCAGCTAACCCCCAAAATAGGATCCATCAGTCAGACGGGTGTCCCGGACGCCACGTGCCAGCACACTGAGCAGGCCGTGCTGGATAAAGTACATCTTCCTCCCCACAGAGCCTTCACGCACCACGAGGTCCCCCGGCTGGAAGACCTCAAAGCGTAGCTTGGTGAGAACTGCAGTGACAAAGCTGGGGTCGGCGTGGGCAAACAGCGGCATGTGGGCCACCAGGCCCCGGCAGGTGAAGTTAATGATCTCCTGGACAGAAGAGGGGCCTGTCAGACAGGCTGTAACCTCTGGCCCAAGATGCCCCCACCAAACCCATCTTTTTTCCAGAAACTCTACCCCTTGGGTCAATATCTGCCAAAAGAGAAGGATGCTGCAGGGACCCTGCACCATCCTGAAGCCCTTGTCTTCAGAGCACTCCCATGGGGCCTCATGGAACCTCCCCCCAAATAGAAACCCCTACAGTCCTTTCATGGATACTCTACCTTCTTAAGATGCTTAAGTCAGCCCATAAACTCCCTCCCCCGCCGAATACTTGACCTCCTATGAAGCCCTCTGCAAATCTTCCTCCGTACAGGAGCATCCACTGATAAATATTCCCACCCTAGAGAGCAGAAGCCCAGATCCCAAAAAGTTGTATTCAGAGCCCAGCCTGGTCCCACCTCTCTCAGTGGCTCACTCAGTTCCCCCAGGATGCTCTCTTCATTGAACATCTTGCCCTGGTAGCGGTGCTCATAGTACTCATGGATGCGCTGCCGGGTGTCAGCTGGCAACTTGTGGAAGGACATGTACTGTTCCACCTGCTTGTACTGCAGGGCCAACCCATGGCCAGCAGGAAGAGGACACAGGGTGTATGGAAGATCAAAGGTCAGATCCAGATGAAACATGGAGCCAGATATAGGTGCACGTGGCCATACAGGACATGTGAATAATGGTGGATAGAGATGACACATACCACCGTGACAGGAAAATGAACATATGAGCAGAGGAGGGGTCCAATGACAGAGGCATAGGTCCAAACAAGGAAAAGGTCACACAGGGGATGGAACAAATGGACATGGGGCAGGGAAGAACACAGAGACCCAACAGGAGCATATATCAGAATGGGCCTTGCATCTAGCTACCCAGCCTCGAGCACCTCCCCATCCTCCCCTTCACTCTGCTGTCCCTGCTGACCTTCTCTTGGTACTGGCGCCGGGAAGAGTCCAGGGACTGGATGAGGGCAGTTGCATGACCGATGAACATGGCGTAGCAGGTGGCGCCCACAATCATGCTGAGCATGGTGAGCCAGACGTCAGGCATGCCCACAGGTGCCTGCTGCCCATAGCCAATGCACAGCATGTGGCTCATGGCCTTGAACAGGGCATGGGAGTACTGGCGGCCCCAGGAGTGGTTCTAGGGGGCAGAGCATATTGCAAAGCATATTGCATGGCCCCTTCTGAGCCATATTCTGCACCTGTCCATTTCTCTTTTTGTTCTGGCTGCCCCTTCTGCTTCAGACCTTCTTCCCCTGGTGGTAGGGAGACCTGTTTGGTTCTGGGGTCCTCAAAGCAAAAGGGAACTCTTGTAGACTGGGGCATTGGTTTTTGCATAGGTTTCTTTCCTTGCCTGTTTTCTCTAATACAAAGATACTTCTGAATCTCTTCCCCTTCTCCTCCCTCCTTCCCACCTGCTACTATCTTCTTTCTTAATCATCTCCACCTCCTGCTCCCAGATGCTCAGACAGAAGAGCCCTTAGAAAGCCCAGGAGTGGCAGAGCTGTGGGGACTTCTCACCACCATGCGGTTCATGGAGACCCAGCAGTCAGGCGGGAAGTCCTGCAGCATGGGGACCAGGAACTGCAGACAGCCATCCCAGTGACAGAGCAGCAGCATCATCCCAATGAGGTTGAAGATACGAACCACAGCGCTGGCCAGGTCATAGGTCATGTGAAAGATCTGAGAAGTCCGAGGAGGGGCTGCTATGGACAGGAACCTTCCCTGCTGGTCCTCTAGTCCCAGCTTTGCAAATTCTCTTTGAACTTCTACCTTTCCCTAGCCTCCCTGAATTAAAAAACATGGCTATTATTTATTTGTATAATTTTATAGCACACATATGTAGCTAATACAAAGTAGGTTGTGCTAGCAATCTCATTGTGTGTGTGTGTGTGTGTGTGTGTGTGTGTGTGGTGCTGGAGATAGAACACAGGGCCTTGCACATGTTGCATATGCCCAGCAAAGTCTACCACTGAGTTATGTCCCCTATCCCTTTTTATTTTGAGACAGGGTCTCACTAAATTCCTCCAAACTGGCCTTGAACTTGTGACCCTCCCATTTTAGCTGCCTGACGAGCTGAGATTACAGATACATACCCCATGTCTAATTTTTATTACTCTCATATATTGTCTGTTCTAGGTAGGAAACTGAGATGAATCATGTTGGTGGCTTTTTTTTTGGTACCAGGAGTCGAACTCAGGACCTCATGCTTGCCAAGCAGGTGCTCCCCCAATAAAGTCAATCTTATGCCCAGAATTACATAAGCATGACAGCAGAGACCCAAAGAAACATATTGCACAACTTGCTCAGATGTAGACTGGACAAGAGCAGGGGTATTTCACAACGTAATGCCCCCAGGGTGTGTGTATAAGGATTAATGACCACTTTGTTTCCAACAGGTAATTTAACAGGTGTGTGTGTGTATACATGCACTACTGGGATTGAATCCAAGGTCTTCATACTGAGTTACAGCACCAACACTTTTTTATTTTTTAGTCTGAGACAGGGTCTTGCTAAATCATTAAGTTGCCCAGCCTGAGTTTGAACTTCTGATCCTCTTATTTTAGCCTCCCAGCGTACTGGGATTGCAGGCATTCATTACCACATCCTGAAACTTCTTTTTTTTTTTTTTAATTTATTTTATTTTATAGTTTTTTTTTTTAATTGGTACTGGGGATTGAACTCATGACCACCTGCTTTCAAGGCAGGTTCTTATGCCGCTGAGCTAAATCCCCAGCCCCCACATCCTGAAACTTCTTAAGTACTTCGATTCTTTTTGTTTTTATTTTTGTTTTTTGAGGCAGGGTTTCACTCTGCAGTTCAATCTGGCCTTGAACTTATTTTTTAGTCCAGGCCAGCCTCAAACTCAGAGCAATCCTCCTGCCTCAGGATTACAGGTGTGTGCTGTCACATCTGGTCACTACTTTGATTCTTTTTTTTTTTAATTTTTTTTTTTTTTTTTTTTTTTTTTTGTCTTTTTCCTTTTTACTGGTACTGGGGATAGAACTCACGACTGCTTGCTTGCAAGGCAGGTGCTTATGCCGCTGAGCTAAATTCCCAGCCCTCTACTTTGATTCTTAAAACCAAACTGTAACATTCTCATGTTAGATAAGAGGAAACCAAATCTCTTATATACTAATAAATAATAAATCTGGGGTGTGGGACCAGGAATATAGCTCAGAGCACAAGCACCTTCCTGTCAAGTACAAGATCCTGAGTTTGATTCCTGGTACATCAATCAATCTAGGATGTGACCACAGGCAATGAGATTTGACAGGCTCTATCATGAACCATTAAGCTTGCCCTGAAGCTCCAGCTCCAGCTTTCTGTGTACCCCACAGCATCCAGCATCTACTAATTCTAAAGTGTTTGTCTAGTTGTTGGGCTTCCTCCAGTTGTCCCTAATTATCCAGCAAAGGCCTCATTATCCAGACCCTTATTCTGTCCCTGTTTCTTCCTCACAAATTTTGGAAAGAACTCAACCATGGAAGCCCCACATCTCTGCCCTGCTCCATAAAGTTACCAGAAGGCCCACCCATACATCCTGCCCGTGAAGGGTCTCTGATCCCCCTGCCCACCTCCCTGCCCCACCTCCTCCCACTGGTGTATGTATCTGATGAGGCGGGAGAGGCGGAGCAACCGCAGTAGGCTGAGGATCTTGGTGAATCGAACAATGCGCAGGGCCCGAGCTGTTTTGTAGACCTCAGCATCCAGCCGGGGCTCCAGCTCCACCACCAGGAAGATGTAATCCACTGGGATGGAAGAGATGAAGTCAACCAGGAACCAGGTACGCAGGTAGCGAGTGCGGATGGCCCGAGGTGCTAGCAGGATCTCAGCGCCCTCCTCTACCACAATGCCCGTACGGAAGTTAAGCACCAGATCCAGCAGGAAGAAAGTATCAGAGAGGACATTGAAGACAATCCAAGGGGGAGAGTTCTCTTCTTTGAAGAAAGTGATGCCCACAGGCAGTACAATGAGGTTCCCCACCATCAACAGCAGCATGATCAGGTCCCAGTAAAACCTAAGGTGGGAGTAGGATGTGGAGTAAGACTACTGTGATATCTCACCAGCCACTAGACTGAGAGAAGCTATCTGGCAATTCCAGGAGTGGGCAAGAATATAAAATAATGGAATAACCATTTATAGCCCAAGGGAGTAAAACTGAGACCACTACTTGGAAAACAATTCAGCATTATCTGCTAAAGGCTAACATTTGCATTTCTTTTTTTTTTTTTTTTTTTTGTCTTTTTCATTTTTATCGGTACCATGGATTGAACTCACGACCGCCTGCTTGCAAGGCAAGTGCTTATGCTGCTGAGCTAAACCCCCAGCCCCAACATTTGCATTTCTTGCCATCCATAACTTCCTTTTTTAGGTTTTCTTTTTTTTTTTTTTTTTTCACTTTTTTTTTTTTTTTGAAAACAGAATTGACTAATGTATTCCTTTAAGCCCAACCAGTGGAGGTCAAGGTTATCTTAGAAGGAGGTGATGTTTATGATCATCCCCTTCCTTCTTGGAAAGCTGTCATCACAATCCACTGAAGCTAGTGTCTGGAAGTCATCCTGGAATTCATCCTCCAAGTCAGAGGAGTAGGCCTCATCCAAAAAACACTAGGCTAGGAACAACACTGATAATCAGGTTCTTCCATCAAGGCCATCCCATCTCTGGCCTTGATGTCAAATATGGGCTGCTACTTACCACTGCCAGTTTGGAATCCCATGCTTTTTTTTTTTTTTTTTTTTTTTTTTTTTTTGGTACCAGGGATCGAACTCACGACCTTACGCTTGCAAAGCAGGTGCTTATGCTGCTGAGCTAAATCCCTGGCCTTTTTTAGGTTTTCTTAGACAAGAGAAACAAATACTATGGAAGAAATATATGAGAATGCTTTTGCAGGATTAACTTTAGGAACAACCCAAATGTCCATTAGTAGAAAATGGAAATAGTCAGGCATGGTGGCGCATGACTGTAATCCCAGCATTCTGGGAAGGCTGAAGCAGGAGGATGTCATGAGTTCAAGGCCACCCTGAGCTACATAGTGAGGTCAAAGACACCCTGAACTACACAGGGAGGGGCTGGGGATTTAGCTCAATGGCATAAGCACCTGTCTTGCAAGCAGATGGTCATGAGTGTGATCCCCGGTACTGACTAAAAAAAAAAAAAAGACAAGTGAACCAGGTATGGTGACATATGTCTGTAATCCTAGCTCTGTGGCAGTCTGAGACAGGAAGATCCCAAGTTTGAGCCCAGGCTAAACAATTTAGCAATTTAGTATCATAGATAACTATTGTATGATCATTACTATGTAAGATTTCTGCATCATTATCAAGCATTTTTTAAAAAATTAAAAAGTACCAAAAAAATAAAGTGCCATGGGCTAATTTTACAAGGTTGTTGCAAAAAATTTCTACGGAGACAATGGATGTAGCAATGCCGTACAAGCAGTAGTTGGTGTTATGACTCACCTACCCTTTTTATTTGCAGACCTCTGGAAATGTTGTTGCTTCTCTCATCTCCAGCTCTTTACCCATTCATCTTCTAGGATTTCATGTACTCCTCATCTTTCCCCACCTCATTCTTCCTCCCCAACACAGTTGGACTCATGAATCCTGTTTCTCCATGAAAACCTGATCATCCCTGTCTGCGGTGGGAGTGGTTTTTCCTGCCTCTCATCTGAACTGAGTGTTCCAAGGATGTCCCTTCCCTCATAGCACTTGGGGTGAGGGGTGCTGTACACACAGAGGGGCCCTGAGGCAGCACAGTTTGACCCCTATGTTCCTTTCCTTCATCGACCTTCCTGAGCCCACTGGACTCTGAGCCAAGCAAGGGCATGCGCACAAGAGAGTACATTGCTGTGGCAGAAGCTGTAGAAAGAGGTCAGGAGAGAGCTGGGGGAAACCTCATTCAAACAAAAATCGCTGGATAATCTGAGGGATTCAATTTCCTACAGTGCTTTTAATTCTAGGACACATCTAATCCTAGCATAAACCCAGGATACAGACTGTCCTGATTGCCTGCCAAATCAATTCTTTCATCCTCTCAGAGACTTGATGGTTCCCAAGTCCAGTCTCCAGGAAACCTCTCAGACTGTGAGCTTTCATTCAACAACAAACCCTTGATCCCCTCCCCCTCTCTCTTGGGCTCCTGAACTGTGAGACACTGAGAGAAGGAGGGAAAGAGGGTTTGCCTAACCAGCAGAGCATCTTCACAGCCTGACTCATGGGCGGTCACAAGCCCAGAGGGTGATGAAGGAGAGGGGATGGAGAAGCAGCACCATTCTAAGGGGCACATGGCTTCTGAGGATGTGTCTGAGGGTGAATTGTAGGAAGGGAAAAAGCACCAAGAGAGACCAGAAAAGGTGCGCCACTGGGGTGGAGAGTGAGGTAGGGGAAGTGAAGAAACAATGGGAAGAAGAGGAACATTTAGGGAGATGTCTGGATTAAAGATAACGTCTGGGTCTCCGACTGTGTTTTCAGCCTCCAGACTCAGACCTCATCCTGTTTCTTTTCTCTCCCATGCACACATCCCCACCTCCCCCAAAAGCTGTCCTTCATTTCCCCCAAGGACAGGGCTGCTCTCTCCTCCCCTGCCGACCTTCACGCAGAGGTGCAGCCTGATGGGGACGGAGAAACGGCCCTTCCCTAATCTCCGTTCCTCCTCTCTGGGGTAATCCGGACTGAGGTCTGCGGGGCTCGCGGCCTCAGTTGCTGGAAACTAGCCCCGCCCCGCCGCACCCCATCTTCAGCACCAGGGACAGCGACCAGCCGCGGTCTAGCCCCCTACCCTCCCCAGGGTCCGGGTTGTTTTCCGGCTGAATGAGGCAGGTGCTAGGGGTGAAGTAGGCCAGAACGGAGCTAGGCTTCTGTCTCAGGCTGACCCTAGGGCTTGGGATACGACACAATTTCTCAGATGCCAAACAACAGGACTGCAGGAGGCAGGGGCTCCAGACTCAGGTAGTCTCTGGTTCGGAGGGAGTGCAGAGGGGTCCTGTGTTGCTGGCACGGAAATACATGGTCTCTGGAAATCCCTGATGTCGGCCTGCCAGGTCGGCCGCTTAGCCTGACAAGTCACGTTGGACCTGTGGCCGGGATATCCTGCCCAGGAATTCCTGGGCTAGGTCGGGGTAGGAGACTCCTGCCTCAGTCGGGACATTTGGGTGACAGCCGAGGATGGGCGGGCTCGGACCTGCGTCGCAGCCCGTGGGGTGGGATCGGTGTCCCCTCTCCCTGCCGGCCCCCAGTACCGGAAGTCGCTGTAGGGGTGGATGATCCAGGCCCCCGCCGACTTCACGCGCTCCTGCTCGATTTCCACTGCTTTGTGGCTGCCGAACACCCGAAGCGAGAACTTGTTGACTGTGGGCTGCAGCAGAGTCCCGAGCGGCCTCCTCTTCGGCTCGGGCGCAGACCCCGCGGTGGGACCCGAGGCCGCGGCGGTCGGCGTGGGAGCCGCGGGAGGCACCGCCTCCAGCCCAGGGGTCGTCCCCTCTCTGACCCCCGAGGCTGGCAGCCGCTCCGCCTCCATGACGCCTGCAGCTACGCACCGGGCTTCCAGAACCCCGCCGCGGCCATCGGGGCCCTGACCCCTGGCCCTGGGAGACGGCGCAGCCCGGGGCTGACAGCCTCGCCTCACAGACTGGAACTGCCGGCGCGCGGCGCGGAGGGGGTGTGTGAGACAGACGGTGGGCAGTGAGCCGTACGGCGCCCCCTGGCGGGGCCGCGCGCAGGCGAGGCAGGGCGGGAGGGGGACGCGGGGACTCCGAGGTGGGTGTGGCCTCGCGCGCCCGGGGACTGGCGAGGAGCGGCGGAGCCGGGGCGGGGGCGGGGCGAGGGCGGGGCCTATCTGGGAGGTGGGGCCGCCTGCTAGCGGCGGGAAAACCGGTCCGCGTTGTGCAGCTCCCGGAAGGTGAGGAGTTGCAGACTTACGCTCGGTATTCTGTTCGGATTCTGTCTCCTCTCTGCACTGTCCTAGGCATATTCTTTCCTTTTGAGCCCACTAGTTGCTTGGACTAGTACACTCCTAAAGCGTCCTTCCAGCCTTCACCAAAGGCAATGCTGCCCCTCACCGAGTGGACGCTGAACACACAAGATACAGTACAAAACACCTAGCTTTACAGCTGCTGCCCATCTGTGCCTGAAGAAGAAAAGGCATTTAGGATGCTATCAAGGGTGTTATACCCTAGACATTTGGAACTATGCCAAATTCCTCTGTCTCCGTTTCTAATTGCCACTCCCCTATTTCAAACCCTCAGCACTTTTTCACATTTAAATTGTTTCAGAGACCTCTAAAAGAATCTTCAACTTCCCCAGCCCTGTTTTTTAAAGATACTGGGGTGGAACCAGGGGTGCTGTATCATTAAGCCACATCCCTGGCCCTTTTATATTTTATTTTGAAGCAGAGTCTCTATAATTTGCCCAAACTGGCTCGAATTTGAGATCCTCCTGTCTCAACATTCCAATTCTAGGATTTTAGGTTTGCACCAGCACACCAGTCTTAACCCTTTATTCACACTCTCCCAGTTTCCTCTCTAATTCAGCTTCCTTTCTGACACTGAGGTTTTTGCTGAGGTTATGGTGCTTCAGGATCCTCCTCAGGAGTCAGCACCAGTGGCAGGAGACAGGACCAAAATCAAGTACTGCAAGACTGCCCCTTTTACTAGCTGCTTCCTCAACTATAAGCAAACCATGTACTGCCAGCACAACTACCTGGACTCTCACCATTGCCAGAAGGCAATGACCACCAAAGGGGTGATGTGGCTGGTACCAGCATGTGTATATGTCCTTCTGTCCCATGCCCTGGATCTCAGCCTAGGATGAGAGATCTGAACTGGTTCCATCCTGCTTCTCAGTCCTTTTCCTCAGTGGTAAAGAGGGACCTAGATATATGACAGTCCTTACCCTGGAACCCTGAAACATAGCTAATAATAAAAACTCAATGAAAAAGAAAATCAAAATATACCTGTATCATTTGTGTAAAGTCCTTTAAAATTCTCCATAAAATCATATTTAAACTCCAAGCCTGGCATAGTGGTGTGATCCCATCACATGGAAGGCTGAAGCAGAATTGCCACAAGTTCGAGGCCAGCCTGGGCTACATAGTGAGTTCAAGGTCAGCCTGAACTCAGAGCAAGATCCCGAACAAACAAATTTAAATCTCTTATCATGACAAACTAATGCACTGCAAAATTTGGACCTAGTTTCAATACCTCTCTGCTGGCAACCCAATGTGCTGAGATAGGTTTTTCTGTCTTGTTTCCAGACCTTCACAAAATATTGTGTTTTCTCTGTTTGACATTCTCCAACTCTCTCCAACAGCTGTCTCAAATTTCATCTCCTCTAGAAAACCTAGAAACACAGTTGTAGGGGCTGGGGATTTAGCTCAGCAGCATTAGTGCCTGCCTTGCAAGCAGGCAGTCGTAAGTTCGATCCCTGGTACCGATAAAAATGAAAAAGACAAAAAAAAAAAAAAAAAAAAAAAAAACCACAGTTGTAATCCAGGGCTTCCCCACTCCCACTCTGATACAGGATCTTGCTGTGTAGCCCAGGCTGGGCTCAAAATCAGCAATTTTCCTGCCTCAGCCTCCTTAGTGCTGGGATTCTATTGTGCACCACTACACCAACATCTTCAGGTTATACATCTTCAGGTTATTTTGTTTCCCTTCCAGTTTTCCTTTGTTATCTTCAGATTATTTTGTTTCACTTTCAGTTTCCTTTTGTTATTCTCAGGTTATTTTGTTTCCTTTTCAATTTTCCTTTCCCTCTCTTTCCTCTTTGCCTTGGTACTTGGGAATGAACCCAGGGCTACACCTCTAGCCCTTTAAATTTTTTTTTTTTTTTTTATCGGTACCAGCGATCGAACTCAGGACTGCCTCCTTGCAAGGCAGGTGCTTAAGCCGCTGAGCTAAATCCCCAGCCCCTAATTTTTTTTTTTTTTTTTTTTTTTTTTTACCGGTTCCCGGGATCAAACTCACGACCGCCTGCTCACAAGGCAGGTGCTTATGCCGCTGAGCTAAATCCCCAGCCCTTAGTTAATTAACTTGTTGTTTGGAAACAGTATCACTATGTAGTTCCAGCTGGTCTTGAACTCTAGGTGATCCTCCTACTTCAACCTCCAGAGTGCTGGGATAAGAGATGTGTGCCACTATGCCAGGCTGGTAGCTCAGTTCTTTCTCTACATCTCTCATTCTAGTTTGCTTAAAGATCTTGTTTTCATGTCCACGCTCTAAAGACCCCAAATAATCCAGCTGAGGGCCCTGATCTGTGGCGATGCCTGCATGAGTCTTGCTGAAGACCTAGAGCCCATGAAGATGACTTATGCAAGTCTGTTTTCAGGGATCTGTGCTGGGAGGGCTCAAAGGTCAGTGAGGAAAGCCAGAAAATCTGTGCCAGTGGGATAAAGGATCTGTGCCAGTAGGCTGAGGGATCTGCACGGGATCCAGGAAGTAACGCTCAAAGTAAGGACCAGAGCTCCCCGAAAAAGTGCCACAGCCATGCTCTGCTCCAAGGTCCTGAACTCCGCTGACAGTGAGAACAGTCAAGTTCATATCAGGAAAGGAGGCTCAACAAGCTCCTCTAGGAGAACCCACGGCAACAGGAGAACCAACAACCAGGAAAACCAATAACACCACTCTTCTCCAGTTTTCCCTTTTATGTTGGCAATCTTTAGGTGGGTCATCCAAATCTAGGACGAGGCTGGTTATTACAAGTTGACCACCAGTTGTCAATCCAACACAAGAAGTCATCCCGGGGTACATCAGTCAGTGGGAGTTCAGTTTCTTTTGTAATAAGGAAATGTTCAGGGCACCGTTTAGCCACCTTGGCTTTTCTCTTACAGGAAAATAAAAATTCACATTACAAAATCTTGTTTTCCTTTCTGTTAAGATTCAGTAAATGTATACTTAGTATTCATCACGTAAAGCACACAGAGGTAGTTTTCAAGTGATTCCCCTTCTTTGGTACTTCTACTCCCTTGTCCTTCCCATCTGTACACTCACCACACATAGATAACTTTAATTCAGAACCAAAAGTAGAAGCTTTTCTTTGCTGGGATTAGGTAAGTGAACTGTTTTGGCTTTGGCTTTTTTTGTAATGCCAGGGATCAAACTCATGACCTCGCATTTGCCAGGCAGGCGCTTATAACACTGAGCTAAATCCCCAGCCCCAGTAGGTACACGGTTTTTAAAAATAGGTATTTTCAGCCTATGCTATTGAATCAGACCCCAGCAAGTCTCACCATTCAGAATCACATTTGACGAACAAGGACATCTTGTGATACTTTTTTTCTTTCTTTTAAACCTTCAAAACTAAGCAAGCACAGATGCCTTAGGAAACATACAAGGATGAGGAATGATAGTTTAGGACAGAAGGCGATGTGCCCACTCCCTCCCTGCCCAAGAACTTCCGCACTAAGAACCTCCGGGTTGGGCCAGGCTTGCCCACGCCCCAGAACTACTGAGCACGTGGTGGCGCGGGCGGCCCTGGGGGCGGGGCCCAGGGGCAGGCTGGGAGGCGACGCAGGACGTACGCGCGTGCGTACGTGCTCGCTCACGGCGGCGGCGGCGGAGCGGAGAGGCCAGAGCCGGAGACCGAGCTGAAGATCGAGCCCCGGGCGGGGGCGGTGCGAACGGCGCCCAGCGGATCTTGGAGGCGGGGACGGAGCCGGGGCGGGCGGGATTGGAGCAGAGCCCGGGAACGGGTCGGGAGGGCCCAGGGTCCCGGGTTGGGGGGGTGGAGCCCCACTTCGTCTCCGCGGGGGTGCCGGGACTCCGGCCGCAGTGCCGCCGCCATCACGGACTTCCTGTGGGACAAGCGCACGGGCCTCGCCGCCAGAACGGTGAGCGCGCGGGCTGGGGAGCGCGGGGTCGCGCGGGAAGATGGCGACCGCGGGCGGGCGGGGACGGGACGGGATTGGGGGCAAGGAACCCGGGCGAGGTTGAAGGTGAGGAGGAGTGGGAGGTGAGGGGCCTGCCGTGGAGGTACCCAGGAAGACTAACCCAGGAAACTTAGGGAGAAAGCAGTAGGGGAAGGGCGGTGAGGTAGGAATAGGCGTGCTTCCGGAGATACAAAATAGCAGAATATTACTAGTTGGATCGGGGGTCCAGTCCAGGCCAGAGAAGTGTCACTTGGAGCATAATGAGAATTAGTTCTGAATTTCCTAAGGGGAGGAAAAGGTTCTGAAATGTAGACAGGTGGGTTAGGGGTGCTTTGTGGGAAAAAGACCTTTGAAGGACTTTGATGGCAGTATGTATGGAGTGAGATGGCGTTTATGTAGCTGTGCTAATCAAGGTTGCATTACCTGGGAGAGTCTTTCACTTCCATTCTTGATTTCCTGCCAGCACCGTTAGGCCAAGAATGCATCAAATGTCACCTTCCTCAATTTGAGGCCGTTGGGAAGAAGTATCCTGGAATGGCAGCCAGATGTTGGAGTTGTTAAAACTTGTGCACTCCTGGTCCTCCAAACTACTTAGCAAGACTTCTGTCCCAAGGCTTTTCATTTTGCCTCTCTCATCTCTTGGATTGGAACAATGATATCTCTGATGCATATTTTTTTATTCCTTGAAGGAAAAAGGCATTTGTGAATTGTGTCATTCCAATTCTCTTTATCGAAAGAGCCCAGTGTTTGGGGGCTGGGGATTTAGCTCAGCGGCATAAGCGCCTGCCTTGCAAGCAGGCAGTCGCGA